TTTATCTAAAAAAAAAAAAAAAAAAAAAAAAAAAAGAAAAAGACACGGACAAGACAATGTGTTTCATTACATCGCAGGGCGGCTTTTCCCAACTTTTTCATTCTCGTTGATTATTTGCTGTGATTCTCCTTTTGTACAGTACTACTACACCATATTTTACAGATCTGCGATCATATCGCTCTTCGCCATTGCTATCATACATAAGAATTTGCAAAAGGTATAATACCTGGTACCATGAACCGCGGAACATCCTCGTTTAGAAAAACGTCGTCGCTGTCGTTGTCGTGCTTGGCATCGGCGTCATCGTCAGCGTCAGCGTCAGCGTTAGCATCGTCATCGTCGTAGTTCTGAACGTAGGGTAGAACGTTTAGAAAAATTACCGAAAACTTGAACGAGGAACGGTAGCATTCGTCGTCTCGCGACATGTCGTCCTTAAATCGGCTCGCATTGGCGAACTGGTGATATTGGTGACAATGGTAGTGGTGCTGCTGTTGTTGGTGATAGTGTTCGTAGTGGCTGTAGTAGCGGCGGTGGTGGTTGTGGTGGTTGTGGTGGTGATGGTGATGGTGGTAAAGGTGGTGATAGTGACGGTAGCGGTGGTATTGGTGATAACGATGATAGCAACAGTTGCAGTTATGATGGCGGTGGCAATTGTAGTGAGTGGTAGCAGAGTGATGGCCCGTGGCAGGGGATCACTTGTCGGAACTCGGGCACTCCCCAGGCTGCTTCATTATCGTGTAGTCCAGTCGGTACTGGGCTGAAATTAAAAGGACTTCGTGTCTATCGTGATGACGACAATACGTGAGCAAATCATACGTGCGCGATTGCGAGTGGATCTTTCTTCGAAAATTTGTGTAGTATCCTAAGATAATTTTCTTTTTTCTTTCCTTTTTATCTACGTACACAGTGACTACATGTAATCCTGATTTCTCTATTGTCATGCCTGATAAAATTGCTTCATAATAACAATGTACACAATGACTCAAAAAGTAACATCCTTTGAGTATATCGACGCTCAAAGATACTTGTTCTAAACTAAGATAAAGGTTTGCACAGCGAACCGAGAGCCAGTCCTCCTTTAGGTAATGAAGACGACGACTGAATTACAATTACGAGGACGTACCTTTCTTCGTGAGGTCCTCCATCGTTTGATCTTTGCAGTCCACCGCGAGGTGATTACTACTGCCGCAGTTGTAGCAGGAGATCTTCGCCGGTGGTATCACTGCCGCCGCGTACGTCACCACCGGCGTGGGCGGCATGTATGACGCTTGTACCGGCGTCGCGGCGGCCGCGGCGTTTGGTGGAGGTGGTGGTGTGCCGCCGGACGCTCCAGGATGTCCCGTGTACGGATACATCATTTCGCCATTCGGTTGGTACGCGGTTGGATAGGCCGGTCGCGCTGCGGACGGCCCATGCAAGAAGTTGGAATAGATGCCAGTAGTGCTGGGCCGTATCCCTGCTGGGAAGTGTCCGTGCGGTAAATATGTAAGCTGCGAGTGTGTTGGCGGCGCCGGGAAAGAGACGGCAGCGCAATGCTGTAGACTCGGCGGTCCACTACCATTCCCGTTGCCGGCTCCGCCGTTCAGCATTCCTTGGCTCTTTTGACGCATCGTGGCACGCGCTTGCGGATTCTTCCTAGGAAGTTGCCTTTCCGGCACTGACGTCTGCATCGTCTGTTGTGGCGCCGGGGCGACGTGCGGCGGCGGCGGTGGTACCGTCGTCGTGGAGTGCACTGGCACGCTGTTCACGTGGTCGCTGACGGGCGGTGCGACGTTATTGTTGTCGGCGCCACTGACCCACGGCGCGGCTGGTGGCGTCTCGGGCGGTGACCTGCTGCCGGTGCTGTCGGAACTACTGCTCTGAGAACAGTGTCGACTGCTCTCGGAGTCGAGCCGTAGCGCTTGTAACTGCGCCAGGCAATATACGTGTTGAGCATTGCACCTGTAAACGTTACTCAATCATAGACATCGTAATTCATTTAAATTTTTACTCAGAACTACATATGTGTTCTTTCAATCCGAGATATGTTTGATCTGACGTAATTCGTACGTACCTTGAGTATCGGTTCTGCATTCCACCTACTGGCACGGTGAGACAAGCGTAACACGGTGCATTCTGGGCCGTGTACATGTGTGGTGGTGCGGGGTACATTTGTATTTGCGCGTGATCTAACGACGGCATAGCGGCGGGATAACGCCGCATGTTAGGAGTAGCCACGTGATTGTGATAATGATGCATCGTTGGATGCTGTTCTTGTAGCGACATTGATTTCCCGCTCGTGTTATTGCTATCACCTAAAACTTCCATTCCTGGTACGACCTGTGTAATAAGACAGACACTTAGTGGATAACTGAATATCGCGAACACAACGATATCTATGTAATATAAATATATATGTGTATGTATATACAGGGTGTCTCAGACCTCCATGATGACCCTTTGTGAGAACGTAGAACGGATTGAGGTGAGCAAGAAAGTCCTGTGCCGTTTTGCGATATTCGCAATAATAATCGAGATATTAAAAAAGATCGGTGAATGATCACGCGCAATATGGTAGATGAGCTGCAGTAACGCCGTTTGCCGTTATGTATACTTATACATTAAGGTTCGTATTCTGAGTTCTCTTTTAACGATAAATAAGCCTTTAAAAGAGGCTTAGAAGCCACCTGATTGGCTGAGAATACAGCCATTTAAGACACTTTTATCGATAAAAGAGGATTCAGAATATGGGCCTAAGTCAAACTGAACAAAAAGTTCTTTACCATTTTGTAAATAACTACATAGATTTTTAGATATTAATTAAAGAAAATTTGTGCATTATAGTATATAATCATATATGTAACAATTTTTTTTAATATTTAAAAATGTATGTGGTCATTTGCAAAATGGTAGAGGACTTTTTTGTTCAGTTTGACTTAATGTATAAGTATACAACGACAAACGGCGCCATTGCAGCTCATCTATCATATTGCGCGTGATCATTCACCAATCTTTTTTAATTAATATCTCGATTATTATTGCGAATATCGCAAAACGGCACAGGACTTTCTTGCTCACCTCAATCCGTTCTACGTTCTCACAAAGGGTCATCATGGAGGTCTGAGACACCCTGTATATAATATATAAACGATATAAACGATATATATATATATATATATATATATATATATATATATATATAAATTATCAGGTTTCTATATCTTTATTTCTATTAAGACTGACTTCTGAAACAATACAAAACGAGTGTAAGACTTATTTACCTCGTTTTCGATTGATTCTACAACTGGATGTGTGTTATTGCTTGTATTATCCAGCTTCTTGTCGGCTGGAATTTGGTTTAAGCCGTTAGTAGTTTGACTCTTAACTATACTCCTCAACTGTCCCACTGCGTTCGGTGTAAAACCAATATCCCTCAAATCCTCATCGCTCAACCTCCTGATCTATATTCCACATACATAGGAAGTTTAATTTCAACTCATATTTGCATACACAATGGTATTTAGTCAATAGTAAAGAAGTCGATTGACGATTTCTTGACGACGATTAGGTATAAACAAAGTTTCGCTTACCTCGTCGCGAGAAAGATTCTGCAGATTACCCTTGAAGTTCGGTATCTCCTTGCCCATAGTCTCCCGTAGAGAATCGCCAGAGTTCGACGACCTTAGTCGCGGCGGTGGCGGGACCTGTTTCTGTTGGGACGCTGGGATCAAAGTGGACGACGGGGTATTGTTGTCGACACTATTGTGCCGAGAAAAGCAGTTCGAAGAGCTTGTAATAGACAAAGGAACCGATCGCGATGATGGTAGTAGCGGTGGTTGTTGACTAGGAAGACTTCTGCTCGCGCCGAGTGTTGGTAGGGGCGGCAGGGAGTTGTTATTGTTGTTGTTAGTAGCGGTCGACCCGGAAATGCTCGTCTGACTGTTAGAACCGGTCGTTGACGACGTCGTCATGATGTTGGAGGTGGACTGGGTGACTTGCGTGGACGAGGTGCGTGGGTTGACGTTAGTCCTGCCGCGGCCCATAGGTGAGTTGCTGCGACTAGGGGATCTTGACTGGGACGGCGAGGACTGGCGGCTGACTAAGGGGGAAGGTGGATAAGCCAACATGTCGCCGGTGTGATACATCAGTTGGTTTCCCATCATAACCTGACCTGTCCATGGGGGCAGATGATTCACCGACGGGAAACCGAGATGAACGTATTGCGTGGTACCACCGGTTCCCATGGGTATTTGCTCCGGGGTCGCGGGCAGGCATAATCCTGGAGGAGGTATTGTAAGACCAGGCGGTACTCCAGTCATCATAGTGTTGTTCCTCATCGCCATTTCACCTGAATAATATACACAATATCAGTATATTTAAGCACTGTTTTATATTCGAGAAAAATAGTACATGGAAATTTCAAACAGTTTTGTTTTGTAAAAATGAACTGTGAGAAAAATAAAAAAGATTATTAGCAAATAGAATTCTTTGAAGTAAATTCTGCTAATCTAATTTTTGTAATTTACTTTGTCGTTTATTCAATTTTTAATATTTTTTATTCAGTTTGTAGTATTTTGTCGTCTATCCGTACTTTATCAAAATGTTTCCTTTGCGTGTTAACGGATATTTAGAAAATGTGTGACGTACCATGATAAGATTGCATCGGCGGTGGCGGCATTAAACAGCTACCTGGAATCTCAGGCTCCATTAACCTCTCGTTCGTACTCATGCAAGGTGCGCAACCCTGTATAAATTAAGATCACATATAGCTTCATACAAATAACAGTTTTCAGCTTTTAAAACAACTAATCGTGTTACCACGATGTACTGATAAATTGACATGCACAAATTTATATTTACATAATTGTCATTAAGATTAAATGAGAAGATATTGACCACGATTACTTCTCTTTCTCTCTGTTACATTTATCGAAAATACACCTATCCTAAATAGGTATCCTAAAAGGGTGTATAACACAATGAAGCAATGATATCGATATATATTACGTTACGTCACAATACATTAAGTATTAATCGAGGTGATTATGTCTCTTAGGACAACAGTCTATAACAGAGAGGGTAACAATGATCCATAATTTTAATGCAGTACGCGTGAATTCATATTTACTTACTTCCAATTTGGACCTTAATGCCTGTGGATAACCCGACATGGAACTTGAGAAAAATATACGTAACAGCCTAGACCTACCACGCATTCTTCACGTACAAATTATATAAATATATAAGCATATGCGACAATCAAATGATTAAATTGATTAAAAATATTATATAGAAATAATCAAATCTAATTCTGTAAGAAAGATATAAAAGGTTTATATAAAATATGTATAAAATAATTTTAAAAATTCTTTCGTCCATTCAAATTCAAAATAATTATATTTTAATTTTATACACGTTTCTGTAAAACTTAAAATAAATCGATACAAAATTGTCTCGAAATATGTTAACATAATATGATTAGGGTAAAATTATATATTCAATTATGTTTTATATTCAATTATGTTTTATATTCAATTATGTTTTATATTCAATTATGTTTTATATTCAATTATGTTGTATATTCAATTATATTTTATTATATTATATTGTTTATATTGTTATTATATTATATTGTTTTATATTATGTTTTATATTCTCTTGCTTCAAGCATGAAGTAAAACTATTTTACTTAATTTAGAATTTAATATTATTAATGTAATACTAATTCAAGGATTAATTTTTAAAATTTACTGGATATATAGAATTGAATAACTTGAGTTAAACAATAAATTCCCATAGTATTCAATAAAGGGAAATCGGCCAAATCGATTTTAAATTCATTGAGGAGTTTGTACTTAAAAAAATACGTAATAGGTCTGAGACTCTTTACACACATAAAGACGGGTTTCTCAAACTGCAGATGTTACGTGAAGTTACTACAAAAGAAAAATACTCATATTCTAAATTATGCATACAATTTTAAATATTATTTCGATTAAATTTTGTCCTAATTGTTTCCTCTCTTACGCACTGATGATTATGTTAATAGGATGATTTTGAGGGCCACACAGTCACATTAAAAAAAATTAAGTTAAATATGATTAAAAACAAAGAAACCAAATTTTCCTAATCAACTGTAAACTACAAGTATAACCGTGCACAACACAATAACTATATATTTAAAAAACGAGGATACAGATTAGCTACTTCACAACAAACAATATCCAACATAATTATCTAAAAATATTAACTTCTTATATAAAAAGTGAGACTTATTCATACAAAGAAGTATCCCTTATCCACAACCTTGCTTTAATCTTTACGCTGTAAGATATTGACCAACCACAATTGATTATTTTTAAAATTATCGATTGTGGTTGGCAAATTTCTTATGGCTTAAAGATTAAAGCAAGGTTGTGGATAAGAAATAAGAGTTGTCTTTTTAACTTTTAAATATCTGAAAAATCACCTGCTTATACATATTTAAAGACCAGAAGGAACTGACAACAACTATAAGGTAATCCATTGCATTATTTTGTAGAATTATAATTATAAATTAACTCATGCATTCTGTAGGATTGCTATTATAAATTAACTCATAAAATCAATTATTTGCTTGATGTAAAGGAAGGATTTAAAAGATACAGAATAATGCAATCGATAAGATAAAATATTCATAAAGCTGACGATTATTGCATTTCTACATTAAGAAAAAATATTGTGCATTACTTGTGCCGGCTTGAAAGAAGAGTTTATCTTTGAGAGATTCAGACGAGCTTCCTCCTCCTGGAGCTTGATGAATATGTTGCCGAATACACTTTTCTGCTCGTATGTGAACGCTGGATGGTTCAACGCCATCGTATACAGCAACAGCAGCTCTTCCAGGGGCTGATCGTCCATGTTGTTGAAGGTGGTCCCGTTCAGCAGATTGATGATCTCCTGGTGATCGAGGTTCGACAGGTTCTTATACAAGATTACCGCACAAGCGTAATTGCATGAGTGCAACAGCGCCATGTAGAGAGCCAGTTTTCTCCGCGTGCGCTTGTCTGTCACGTTGGAGCTTGTCGTTAGCTCGGCCAACTCGGAGATGCTGTTTGCATGGTGCTCCGTGTCGCGCAGGTCATTGTAATCCCGCTTGCCGATATCCTCGACGCATGTGCCAAGGTATCGTACTTCGAACGGCAAGCACATGTTCAGCAACGTGCACATTACATCGATACGTTTATAACTAAACAGATAAAACAATATAGATTAGTTGGGAAGTAACTCGTTACTTGTAACGAAGTTACAGTTACATTTTTTCGGTACTTAACTTAGTTACTTATTTTTAGTAATTTGTAATTTTTTTAAGTTACTTTAATAGTTACTTGGGAAACGTAAAATTAAAATTATATAGTAATCGTATATTAATTTAATAAATTTACCAACGTATTGATGGAGCATGTTATTAAATTCTTTTACCTCTACAAGACTATTATTAATAAATAACTAAATTTTTATTATATTAAGTATAGATTTTAAATTTGTTAAGTAAACAGATTAATTAATGTGATAGATATTAATTATAAAGTTCAATTCTTACATTTTAGTAAAGCTTAAAATGTAAGATTTTTGTATTTATATTAATAATTTACAATCATTTCAAGAAAGTAACTTAAAAGTAACGACTCATTACTTTTTGAGTAACTTTAATGAGTTACTTTTTATGACCAGTAACTTGTAACTGTAACTAGTTACATTTTCAGCAAAGGGAACTGTAATTGTAACTTTTTACAGTAACTGTAACTAGTTACTTTTAAAAAGTAACTTTCTCAACCCCATTTTTATTTATATTTTTTTGTTGCAATATAACTATCCTACATGATTATTGATTATTGATTGATATTAGTAGTATTATATTAATAATATAATATAATTCATATTGAAATACTAAAAAATATATATATAAGCGTAGATTAATATAAAATAATTATTTGTATAAATGTTATATACTATCTGAAAGTTCATCATGCATTGTATCTTCCACAAACAATTAATAATAGAATATAATTAAGGTACAATTTGCTGAAGCAAGCATTGTTGCACGTTGCTATATGTAATAATACATATCATGTATAAACATATACATACATAAACATTTTATATAATAATTTTAGCAATTTTACTTTAGCAAATAATATATATATATATATATATATATATATATATATGTATGTATGTATATGTATGTGTGTATATATACAATTGATATCTTAATCAATGGGAACTAACACATGTTTAGTGTCAAAAATTATCTGCAAAATTTAAAAAGTAACTTTCCATAACCAAGAGTCGCTTCCCGTCGCTTCGTACAAGGAACACAGAGCTACGAGACGACAAGAACATCTAAATGTCTAAAATTCAGCATCAGATCAAAAAGTACTGATGCACAAATAGCTGCAAGAAGCAATTTAACAGCAGACCAGTTTCAAATTCTCGCTCGTGTACTACTTAACAAGTTAGTTGAAAAATTTAAATGGAATCCACACACACAATGTAGATGAGCGAAAATCTAATGAAAATATGACATTCTAATGGAGCGTTAAGGCAACGGTAATCCCCTAACTCAAAATAAATGCACGCCAAGGCGATGAAACCTCGGTCGTTCCTATGCATGCTGCGGTCGCATCGCGAGCGGGTCGAGCGACGATGACGACGACGACGGCGACGCGTCGACGACGGTTACGCAAAATTACTCCTGAAATATCTCGAAGGGTGAAGATGCGCGCGTCGGGATCGCGCGTATAGGAAATAGTCGCACCGCGTCGCGACGCTTCCACATTACCTGGACAGATTCCCAAACCATGATACCACGTTCTCCTTACACACCATTGCCAGACAACATTGATACCACTTTGGGTGGGAGGAAAGCGCGGAGCGACGGAGCGGACAGCCACCAGCAGGCGCCTCTCTCTCTCTCTCTTTCTCTCTCTCCTTCTCTATCTTCCTCTCTCTCTCTCTTTTCTCTCACTCTCGCTCACTCTTTATCCGCCTCTCTTTTTCTCTTCTTTATCTCTCTCTCGCGCTCGAGGGCGCCGCACAATCAGGTTGACAATCCAGATCTCTGCGGGCTGGAGAGCCGTTTTACGCCAAATGCTCGATGACACTCCTCAGAATCCGTCAGAGAACGGCGACGGCGAGTCTTGCAGCAGCAGCAGGCGTATGAAATGCACAGTGGCGGTGATAGCGGTAGCGGTAGCGACAACACGGCGCACCGTTAAATGTCCACATTCGCGACACAGCGGGCGTAGATAGCGAGCACTGAGTGCGGGACACCCAGAGGAGAAAATACGATAATATCCAATCGGAGCTGGCGACGACAGAAGAACGAGCGTCGACGAGCGATCGGGTGCGATCGGGCCGCGCGTTTGTCCGTCCGTACAACCGTGGCGCGGTTCGTCGTCGGCAGAAACGGCGAATCTGTATTTCTCTCTCTCTCTCTTTCACTCTTTCTCCATCTCCCCTCTCCGTTAAACGAGCGAGCAAGCAAACGCGTGACGACAGTGTATTCCGCGTGCGTTTCTCTTTCGTTAAAATACCGCGTGTCTCCTCTCTTAAGAAACGCAAATACGTCGTACGATATGTACGCAATGATATATTATGCGCGACCGTTCGTTCGTATGTCTGTTCGTACACTCTCGCTGCTAGATAAACTCTTGCAATCCTCTCTCTCTCTTTGCCTCCCCTGCTTAACCCTCTCTCCTTCTGTCTCTTTCTCGCGCGCGCGCAAGATGCTATTACGCGAATATATCGGACAATCGGAGTTGAGAGATCCGTTCACATGGTCGCGTTAATAGTTAGACGACAATTTCCCGAAAAGTGGAAAGGATAATGTTGGTACCAAGGAAAATCTCTACACGATATAATTTTAAAGTCTGTTCTTTGTAATTGCACTGCTGAACTGGTGCAATAAATTGAAGGGAGACAAGTTTCTTCTCACTCTAACCTTTTGCATTAGTTCAGCAATGCAGCAATGCAGCAAGAATAGATCATTAAATTATATTGCGTAGAGATTTTCTTTAGGGGCGCCGCACACGAATTGACATACAGTAACGTAAGACGTACCATAAGAATTGACCAATCACTTTGAATATCGTCGAACCGTAAAGTCACCATTTTTGTGAATACTCGATTGTAATTGGTCCATTTTTACGGTACGTCTTACGTTACTGTCATGTCAATCGTGTGCGGTACCCCTTAAGCTGGTGGCACATAAAAAAACTTAAGCAGTAAAACGTAAGCAATAAGCAAATTGATCAATCACAGTCATTGATTCTTCTTACGGTCCAAGAATCAACAATTACTTACGGCCCTTAGTACCAACATTATCCCCTCCACTTTTCGGGAAATTGTCGCCTAACTCCCAGAGCCAGTCGAACATGCTATTAATATAGACGATGCATATAAACATCGGTATATTAAGCTGGTATAATACTCATCAAGAAGACGTATTGTATCGATTGAATGCGTCGTCGTTGATATGCATTGTCAATATTAAGATTATTTAATAGAAAGTTACTATTTAGTAGAGATGCCCGATTCTGAATCGATTCGATTCTTTCCCCAAAAATAGGCGTATTCGTGTTGTTTGCATTCTTCGCACTTTTCGTATTTAAAACCAGACAAAAGTATATTGGAATGTTTGGAAGAAGCAAAAGCAAGATAACTAACTCGATTGTTTCTTCCAAGCGTCTGATTAGGCGTCCATCTCTTTTTAAAAGCGAAAAGTATGAAACATGCAAGCAGCACGAACAACCCTTTTCCCCTAAATTTGTTAGGGAAAGAATCAAATCGATTAAGAATCGGGTATCTCTACTATTTAGTACGCGTATCAAGTGCACGATATAAACCAGACTATTGAGGTTCAATATGATACTGTTTATGGTACGTCGCATTTAATAGCGTTTTTCATTGGCAGAATTGGTGCGCACTGAGTGCGCACTAAGGCTTGTTCACAATATGTTATTATATTGAAAGATTGTCTTAAATAAATTCTCAAATATTTTTAACCAGTAATATAATATATATACCATCCGTACGAATCATTTTATTACCTAAAATATTTTTAAATATGTATTTAAGACACGATCTTATATATAAATAAATATGAAAATGTATTGTAAACAAGCCTTAGTGCGCACTCAATGCGCACCAGTTCTGCCAATGAAAAACGCTATAAGTTGGCTACTTTGCTACTTTTAACCATCGAGGGCTGCGTTCAGATTCCCTACCCGGGTGCATTCTAATACTAAAAGTGCTATAGTATATGTAATATATACTATAGTGTTTCTAGTAATAGAATGCACCTGGGTAGGAAATCTGAACGCATCCGAGGTGTTTACGAAAAAGCGCTCCGAGTTAGTTTCGAGTCAGCGGTATATATACCTCTCTATAATCCAAGTATTTCAAACCCCAATTCTGTCTGAAATAGTGACCGGGTTATTGAGAAATACTACATCTTGCAGCGTAGAATACAAATATATTAAGTATGTAAATATATGCTGCTACATATATCTAAATTTATATTAACAGTTTGCACGTATAAATTTATATATATAGTATCATAATATATTATTGCAAAATATATTAAAATGTTATTAGTTTTATTGATATGCAGCATTTATAAAGAATTATCTTTTATTCCAATTGTTTTATTGCTTACTAATATTACGTAATAATGAATAATTATATTAATGTATATACAAGTAGCACCAATGGACCTAGACATATGGAACATGTTATTTGAAGAAGAAGAAGAAGAAGGAGAAGAAGAATATTTAATACTAAATCGACAGCGGCATGTAAGAATTCCAAATTTCTACGCTGCTATCAAGATGTACGTCTCTCAATAACCCGGTCTTTATTTCAGACAGAGTTGGGGTCAGAACATGAAATACTTGGATTATAGAGAGGCATATATACTGCTGACTCGAAACTAACTCGGTACTTTTCCGTAAACACTCTCGATTAGCTTAGGCTGCGTTCAGATTCCACACCCGGGTGTATTCTATTACTAGAAGTGCTATAGTATATGTAACGTATACTATAGTGTTTCTAGTAATAGAGTGCACCCGGATGAAGAATCTGAACGCATCCTTAACCGGAGTTTGTGAAATCGGCCCTTAGAAAAACAATGTGTGGCCGACTTGTTCCTTTCGTCTGAAAACAGTTTTTAACGAACACACATTTCTATCGTGAAGGTTTGTAAGATTTCCAATTATCAAAATATTATTATGATCTAATTTAAATCAAATCAATATTTTTCGTACCACAACTATTTGTATTTCTAACTTATTCGTGTACATTACATTCTAACTTACATTCGTATACATTTTAGTGCATTGACAACTTTCTATAAAATCTGCGAGAATACTATAATACTGTTTCTAGGATGGCACCGAGATACGAATTGGCTGTCGGCCTTAATAAAGGTCACAAAACGACAAAGATCCGAGTGGCTAAAACCAAATCTGAGAAAGAGAAGACTGTCTGTCATCGACCGTCCAGACTTAAAGGGGTTAGTATGTTGTAAATGCCACATAACCTTCTTTCATTTTTATTGTACTCTGTATATACAAATCGATATGATCTGTGATAAAACATTTGATAAAACTTTCTAAAATCATTCTTTGATAATTATATATAAGTATTTTTCAGTTATGTCTTAATCCATCTTTAATTTCTCATAATAGAGACAAACCAAACATGGAAAGTTTGTAAGGGACTTAATTCGAGAAGTCACAGGACATGCTCCATATGAAAAGCGAGCTATGGAATTACTAAAGGTCTCTAAAGACAAGCGTGCTCTGAAATTCTTGAAGAGAAGGGTAAGTATATTGGAAACTGATATTTTCTCAACTCTACATAATCAGCATTTGTGCTACATGTACATAGGTTTTACATAAGATAGTAATATAAAGAATATGTGCAGCATTTTTTATGAATATTTTTCTATTTCTTAGCTGGGCACACATATTCGTGCCAAGAGGAAGCGAGAGGAGCTTGGAAACATCCTGGTACAAATGAGAAAAGCTGCACATCATTAACTTTTGTTGTCAAAACTCAAAATGCTATGCATTACTTAAAGAGATCAACATTTCAATTTAAAATATATTAATTTAAAATATATTAATTCTTAAGAATCTTTTTTTGAGTACTGCTTCACTGTATTTACTATCTTGAATGGAAATAATTTGAGTATTTTATAGCAATCACTAGTTTCATGTGTTAGTTCATCTTCTCAATTTCTTCTCAAATAATTATTTAAGGAGAATGTATTTCTAGATAATTATACTTAGAAATGAGATTCAGTGAGTACAGATTTATAAGTTATATAATTGCTTGGCCAGAACCGAATAATAAATACATTATACATCCTAATGCATTGACAACAGCAATAGATAAAAAAACAACAGACCAGCTGTGTGTTATATGTAAAATGTGCCCGGCTAAATATACACCGAGGAAACCTAAAAAGAAAACCAAATATGTTGATTAACTCGACCATTTTTATTTTTAATTTGATATAAAAGTGTTTCAACAAGATTAATATGCTTCATGTTAACTACATACATACCAGGTATTGCGCCAATAGTATTCATAAGACCAAATACGCTGCCAGCATGCTTTGGTGCGAGATCTGAAGGATTTACGGCAATCGCATTATTATGGAAGCCTGAAGCGCCAATAATTAAAGCAAGACACAATATCGCACTTTGAAAAGTTTCCACTTTCGCTGTAAAAGTCGATTTGTATATATATAGTTTCATTTCTAATCTATTCAATAATGACCAATTAAAAGATTACTTACACAGAACCAAAAGACTTCCAATTTCGGTGACAAAACAAACTGTTTGAGTTGTCTTGCGTGTCACAGTCACAGAAAAGCCGGACTTAATCATTCTTTCGGATAAAACTTTTCCCAAAAATGTACACGGCAACATCGATAACCATGGTACCATATTTACGACCCAGCCCTGTTTATTAAAAATTTTTTAATTAATAACGATCAATATAATGAAACAAACTTTCTTACGTCTATATGTTTGTTGTTACTTAATATTGTGACAATTTATTTATTTAAATCTTTTTAAACAAGATGAGTGTTTTAAACTTCTTCAAAATATTTTAATAAAATGTATACATATATATATATATATATATATATATATATATATATATATATATATATATATATATATATATATATATATATATATATATATATATATATATATATATATATATATATATATATATATATATATATATATATATATATATATATATATATATATATATATATATATATTTATATAAGATTTTTAAAAGATAACAAGATTACCTTAACTTCAGGAAATGTGTCATGGAAATATGTAGGCATCCATGACAGTAATACAAAAAAACAATTATTTTGGCAAGCATGTCCGATTACACAAGACCTGAAAATTTTCATTTGATAATCATAGAGATGGACAAGATAATCGATTTACTGTTATAATATTACATTTATAAGAAATTATAATCATGTTTTACTATTTCTACTATTCAAGGATTCAGAACTAGATAAGTACAAGAAGCTAGAAATATTACAATTTCCATGCACCATGATTACCAGAATGGAGGTGTTGATAGAAGCTTGAACCAAGGTAAATTATAGCTAGTGGTCCGCTCAGTAAAAGTTGCTCTTTCTTTAAATGGCAGGATGTAGTAGCTTAATAAGACTGTCCATGCCAAACTCATGCCCCCTATATCAGTAAATGAGTAAACATCATGAGTGTATCTTATATTTTTTAAAAAATAATTTTCTAATAAAATCTTTTAAAAAAGCTTATCCTTCTTAGAATTATGCATTTGGTTTTTAAATTGCAGTTTTATTTAACTCCTTAACTTGATATATTTACAACTTCTCAGTGTGATATTTACAGCATTTTCTATTCTTTTCTGATATATTCTACTCATTACTCAAACTCAATAATACCCAAGGTTTGAAAGACAATCATCCAGTTATAGTTCTCCAAGAGAAAGGAGCCCAAGGATCCAGTGAGTAATATACCCAGAGCAGATCCTGATGTTAATAAGCTAAAGAAGGAGGCGCGTTCTGTCTCATGCAAGCGTTGACTGATCAAACTTATCATGCTAGGAAAATGCATTCCTGCAATATATATTTACAAGTCTTTTTAACCTCAGATTATTTTAAAATATATAGCATATCTAATATAAAACTTACCTTGGAATGCACCATTTATCATTCTTACTGTTGTAACCAGTATGATACAGATCTCACCTTTGGGAAATCTTATCACTTCTGGCATGAAAAAGGTTGTTATTGACCAACCAAAAGCAGATATCCATAATACTTTCTGTCCACCAATTCTGTCGCTAATGTAACCACTGGCCACTTGCAACAGTGTGTATCCCCAGAAGAAACTGGACAATACTATACCAGAGTCTGGCTTTGACCAGTACTTCTCTTTGCTGACAACAGGTATCAACAAAGGGACAGATGTACGTGTGGCATATATCAGACATGTTCCGATTAGCAACAACCAGAACCATTTCTTCCTTTCCTTCCTGAAACAGATACTCTTTTTTGTCGATTTTAACATTACTACTTATAATATTTGTATCTTGTTATTGACGAAATATTCGATATATAATCGGCGACATGTATAACTTAAATATAAATCTATACATTATAAGAAACTATTTATAAAAATATATAGCTGTAAAAAATAGTCAATATCCATAACTTTTCTGAATTCTAAATCCAGGAAATAACGTAGAATATTTTTTTTATTACACACCTCGACCAGGATGAATCAGTCTTGTCATCAGACGATATACTCAGTGACATTTCCAGTTGCATGATCACGTATAATCGTTTAACTAGTCGACAATCGTTTTAATTTACGCGCTAGAACATCGGACCTCATCGAGGTCTTGGAATGTACCGCAATTCTCACACGCATATTTGGGAGATGTTCCGCTGCCGGCTTGTCAAAACTCCATCACATAACACGTCATATTGCGATTGTGGCATCTAGTTTGTTCTTTTTAGTTGCACTAGAACAAAGTTAGGGCATTTTTAAAGGGAATAATTTCCAAAAATACGGGAATATACAGAAGTGTAAAAAGAATGCGAAGAGTGCAAGACTCATGATGCAATGTTTTCTGCGTCATAAATAAAAACAATTTATCAATTGTGCATATATCTTATCATATATATTATGTACAGAAATTAAAGGATTACTCTTCTCAATTAAAAGGAGATAAGCAATACGTAATAAGTTGAAATGAACAGACCTTATATTCTCGGTTTTTATGCAAAATTAACGCGTCCAATCAATGGCTGCAATTCTGGGCTTTAGTTGTATAGCTAAAAGAACAGAAAGAGAAGGGGGAGAGAGAGAGAGAGAGAGAGATTAATCTCATCTGACATACGTATAGACAATACGTAATCTCATCTGACATACAACAGAAAATATAGCAACAGCATTAACAAACTAAACTTGCGACTTTAAGTATATATTAATTTATTTTTTAAGCTAAAAATGTCTACAAAAGTTAAATACTTTGTTATTATTTTAAGCGCTATTTTTAATTTATGCTATTGTAAAATTCGTCCTTTTTAAACAGATTATGTTTAGTGACTACTCTCTTCGGCTTGACTCAGGATGGCGGTTAGGTTTCCGAAATATCGATTCGTAAATGTAAAACAGTGAAGAAAGAAATATATTCGATAACTCCGTCTGTTGTATAATTATTGATTACAATTAATTCGTGACACGGTAAAGAGTCCTTGAATCCTTTGTCGTTTGCATTTTTATCCTTGAATACCGTTCCCTCTTTCCCTGTGATTTTGGCGCTATCTACGTTGTTGTTGGACCATTGTTGTTCGTGGCCATCTATATTCGATATCTTACACTATGCAAGTCATGATATATATAACATTGATAGCGTCTAAAAATTGACATTTTAAATATTCAAGGACAAATGGCAGAGGTAAGTTAAAAACATATCAATTACATAATTATTTTTTTTATCAATATGTACTTATATTAAGAATTGAGTAAAAATGCTTTTTTATCTTGCTCTTTATTTGTTGTACCACTATCAATTTAAGATTTGATAAGTGAACATTATTTTATTTCAGATGGATAGTGAAGACAGTATATGTAATTCAATAATTATCTATTGTAAGTTTACCTTTGCATGCACTAAATATTATGTCTTATGTATTTTGCCGATTGCAGGAAGTTAAAAAAAATTAAGATCTAATGTTTGATCTTTTAGGTAAGGAGTATGCAGAAAAATTGAAAACATTGTTACAGCACCCTAATGTTCTTCAATTTAAAGAACAGTTTGCTTGCAATCCATTTTTGCAAATAGCTGCTATTATTGTGATAGCATCGCTATTGACCCCAGTTCTTCTTTTTATTGTACTTGCTATTGTCAGTGCTGTATTTGCATTTATTGGTTTTATGATGATTCAAGGTAAGAAATAATATTTCTATTTTCTGTCACAAAATCATAGTTATATTCTTGCATAAATAAATATATTTTCAGTGACAGTATTGGCAATTGGTGCGAGTATCTTAAGCTGCATTCTTTTCTATATCGCAAGTGCTTTTACAATGATAGGATTATGTACTCTTTCTATCTATTATACATTATATTATGCACGTCATGCGTTTAATCTTTTAACTTCGCGATAAAGTTAATGATAGTTTTGTACAAATTTGTTACATTTCTAAAAACCACTCTATATGATCTTTAAATATTTTCTATATATATATATATATATATATATGTGTATATATATATATATATATATATATATATATATATATATATATATATATATATATATATATTCTATTTTGGCTTCTGTCAAATTATAGATCATATAAAGTAGACTTTAATAAGAGTGAAGAGTTACATGTAATATTTTTTACTAATTTATCATTAATTACTATTTTATTATGAATAAACTATATTTAATAAACTAAACTCTGTTTAATATATTTATTTTCAAATCTTAAAATATGTAAATTTAAATAGATATGAATAAATGCAATATATTTATTTAATTATAATGAAACTGCTGGAATGTTTGGTTGAAGATTTTCATCTCTAACTTCAGAACTTTCACCAGTAGACAAATATATTTCATGCCATAAGGAATCAATTAATTTTTCATTGATCTTTTGATTTTCATAACAAAAGTGATGAATATAATCACATTTGTTTGTAACATCTATGTGTCAAGAATTAAGGATCACATTTATTGTCCATAAATATGTTAATTTCTTTAAAGTCTGTTTCATAATTATTACATTCTTATATTATATATTAGATGTTACCTTTATAAAAAGTAAATAACTTGTAATAATATTGAATTTTGGAAAAGGATACAACCTTTAATGCTATGTTTTGAAGCTTCATAATCCCACTGTATTCTTGTTAATTTTTTGTATAGCTTTAACTTTTCTCTAAAACATACAGTAAAGAATAGCAATAAATAATGAGAATAAGTAAAAATATATTAATATATTTCCATTTCACACATACCTTCCTTGTTCTAATACTTGTTGATCTTGTAAATTTGGGTTAGCTAATTTGGATTTTAGGTTATTCCGTTGTGCTTCCAACTGTTTGATCTCTTGTAAGAACTTCTTCTTTTCCACTTCCAATTCTTTCTATAAAAAAAAATATATATAATTCAACAATGGTAGAATACCAAAGAAAAAATAAACAGAATATCCTAACAGCACAGATGTCCAGGGGACATCCAAAGTACATCCTGAGGAAATCCTGAGGACATTTTAACATCCTCAAGAGATCTTATGCTGTCTAGGTATTCATCATACTTACTAAATAAATATTATGTTCCTCTAAATCATTAATTTTGTGCTTTAAAGTTTCAGTTTCTGCACTCAGGGTTTCTTTCATAGTAGCTAGCTTTGTTTTTAATTCCTTAATTTTAGATTCATCTTCTGTCAAAATATATATTAGCTACATTGAAATTTATATATTTTTTTCTTAATTTATACTTTAGAAAAATGTCAATATAATAAATGACATATTAACTTCCTTACTTCTTATTTTTATGAAAATTAGATATGTGTATTCACAGTTAAGAAAGTCTTACCATTACATCGTTGATCCTGGTTTTTTATAATTTTATTTACAATTTCTGTTTGTGACAGTAACAAATTCTTAAGCACGGACGTGTCCACTTTTACATACTTCGCTTTCAGCTGTTCTATTTTCTCCATTATAACTACTTTATATACTCGTTATGATATAAAATGTATGCTTGATGTAAATACCAGTAAATACTAATATACGTTAAAATTTGAATTGTTGCAACAGCATTATTCCCAAGTGGTGGGGCGTATTCCTCCACTTGGCTATTACTACCACTTTCATGCGCATGTAGAGCCAGCGGCACGGTGCTTGTTTTCATGCTGGATTGCTTGCTGGATGGAAATACTCTGTTCTGATTGGTGCATTTCTGAAGATAGATGGAAATGCACCAATCAAAACAGAGTATTTCCATCCAGCAAGCAATCCAACATGAAAACAAGCGCCGCTGACTTTACTGTCGTAAAACCAAAAATGCCAGCATCTTATTGCATCAAAAAATATCGTAACAAAAAAATAGATGGTATTGGACGTTATTTGTCCTGCTTATTTTCAACAAAAAAATTGTATGACTAAACATAATGAAAATATGTGGCGGTAGCGGCCATTTTCTCGCATGAACCGGAAATTTAACCGGATTCAAACAGTTACATGCTTTTAGATAGCCTGTAGCAATCTAGTTTAGTATAGACATCGGTAGCCAATAAAATGATCCGTACATTGTCTAAAGATGAACTTCTAAAGCCCATCGCACATGAAATGACATAACTGCATGTGCATAGCATAAGACTGATATTTCACGTGTCGTACGACAAGCTTTTTGGATACGTTCATTGGTTGACGAACAGAGAACCTAGAAATACTCTATTCGCCAACCAATAAATGTACCCGAAAAGCTTGTCGTACGACACGTGAAATACCCTTAGACTGTATGGGCCAATGAGCATCAAGTATTGAGCATCAAGCATCAATATGGCTTGATATTCATTGGTCATCTTATGCTATGCATATGCAGCTGTCATTTCATGTGCGATAGGTTTAAAGGACTGTTTATAATAACAATATTACGTATATACAAACAGTTAATATAAATTTATGTATATTAAACAAAATACTTATATATTTATACGTAATAAATTTTAATTTTATGTTCTTTATTTTCAATAAATTTCGGTAATTATATACATTATTTAAATAAAGTTAATATTTATACTTTAAAATGAGTCTTAACTTCCGTCCGTTACCCAATAATCCGGTTGTTATTTTTGACAGACCAAGATAAAACACGAAACACATGGATCATAGATGAGTATACATACTTCTGACCCGAAACCAAACTCGAGCGCTGTTTTGTAGCACTTTTGCTGATATCTGTAAAGTAAACCACGTGCCTACATTTATCCGGTCTCTCGAAAAACAAGTTTATTTCGTAAAACGTTAAAACGATGTCGGCGCATGATTTAGAAATATTTCATAAGCGAGCAACCACAGCGGTAATTGCTTTTGTTAATTTATTTTCAATGTCTCGCTATTACACAACGATAATTTTAAAGTTCTAACTATCACAGCTGTGGAACCCAATGATTTACATACGCCCTATTTTCTCTTGCAGGAGGGAGAGATAGTTTATTTAAAGGAACAAATTGAATTGTTGCGTCAGAGTATTGTGAACAATATTTCACAGGAATCCACTGTGGATAAGGAGGAATTTTTGAAGTTGCAACAGGAGAATATCAAACTGAAACATAGAATAGCGATACTCAAAAGAGTATGTTTTTACCACAAAATACACAAGCTTTATGCACATTGCTGTAATACAATTTTGACTGAAAACTTTACTTACAAGTATATTTATTCCTTGTAATTATTTTTCACAGACCATTGAAGCTCAGAGGAGCAAAGCTCCGTTTGACTCTACATCTCTGTCCGTTGTACCTCAAGACAATGATGTGATCAGCATAAATGATACTCTGTGTGATATTTTTCGGAAGGCAATCAATTTAGCATATCCTGATATATTAGATCCACCAGTAATAGTAACTACCAGTAATAATCTGAAATTTGGGGATTACCAATGTAACAGTGCTATGCCTTTAGCTCAACAACTGAGTAGCTCTGGTAAAGACTCCATAACTCCTTTTATTATTTTCCCCAATACTTCTGATATTTTACAAAATTTGAAATACTTAGTGTTATAATATGTATTATTATTGCAGGTACTAAAGTAATTCCACGCAATGTTGCTAACAACATTATATCTAAGTTGGAAGAATCTTTCCTTGTAGATAATTATGAAATAGCTGGCCCAGGATTTATAAATATATATTTAAAACGTGACTTTGGACAATCTGCTTTAAGCAGTTGGTTGAAGAAAGGCTTTGTTCCTCCTCCATATGTTCAAAGGAAAAGAGTTGTTATAGATTTTTCTAGTCCTAACATTGCTAAGGAAATGCATGTAGGACACTTAAGATCTACCATAATTGGAGACAGTATTTCTAGACTGTTAGAATACTTAGGACATGATGTGCTAAGACTCAATCATGTAGGTGACTGGGGCACACAGTTTGGTATGTTAATAGCACATCTGCAAGATAAATTTCCCAACTATTCAACTGTCACTCCTCCTATCCAGGATCTTCAGGTGATGATATATTTGCGTTGTTGCATGCAACATTTATCATACAATCGTGTCGTTTTACAAACGAATATATTGACCATTCGTATTATTATGTTCACGTGTGCAGGCTTTCTATAAGGAATCTAAAACGAGATTCGATACTGATGAAAATTTCAAGAAATGTGCGTACGAGTGTGTAGTTAAATTACAAACTTTTGAGCCTGAAATAACAAAAGCATGGAAAATGATATGCGATGTATCAAGACAAGGTGAATATCGATTTATCTATAGTTATTAATTGTGAAAGAGTAATGGCTGCTTTAATTATATATATTTATTTTGTTCTCGCGTTTGATACAGAATTTCAGAAACTGTATAATCGACTGGATATCAAAATAATTGAGAGAGGTGAATCTTTTTATCAAAAACGTATGGAATCGATAGTCAAAGAGTTGGAGTCAAAAAATATGTTAGAGGAAGATAATGGGCGGAAGATAATGTGGGGTGAAAACCAAGACAATGGAATACCTTTGACGATAGTGAAATGTGACGGTGGTTTCACGTACGATACGTCCGACATGGCCGCGCTCAAGCAACGCGTTGAAGAAGAAAAGGCAGATTGGGTAAGCATCATTTGTTTCTCGTTAGACTTTGCGTTTTTTGGACGAATTCTAGCGAAATTTAACGTTAACTCTGTAATTTCACAGTTGATATATGTGACGGACGCTGGTCAGTCCTTACATTTTCAAATGTTGGAAAATTGCGGCAAAAAGGCAGGCATCTTAAAGAGCAAACACAGGATGGATCACGTTACCTTCGGTGTCGTTCTAGGTGAAGACAAGAAGAAATTTAAAACACGATCTGGTGACACTGTAAAACTCATCGAACTATTAAACGAAGGTAACAAAGGAGTAGCTCGATCGCATGCTCGATATTGGTCGCATTTAGTAGAGAAAATTGCTTTGCAACTGTGGTAAAATGTGAACCTAATTAGTATATACTCTTGAATTCAGCTAAGATTAAGAACATACACCAATTCATAAATTTTGCAACAGTTGCAAAGTAGCTTTCTCTGTCGAACGCAGTCATTGCTATAATTTGTCCAACTACTGAAACAAACTAATAACTAATATATGGCGTTCTGTCAAGGCTTAAAGAGAGCATTGCAAAAACTCAAAGAAAAGGAACGTGACAAGGTACTTTCCGAAGAAGAGTTGAGGATGGCCCAGGAGTCCGTGGCGTACGGCTGCATAAAATACGCCGATTTGGTGCACAACAGAAACCACGAATATATTTTCTCGTTCGACAAGATGCTGGAGGACAAAGGCAACACCGCTGTGTACTTGCTGTACGCCTTGACTCGTATCCGTTCCATCGCTAGAATGGCAAACGTGACGCAGGAACAGTTGCAAAAGCACGCGCACGACACTCCAATCTCATTGAAGCATGAGAAGGAGTGGAAGTTGGCTAAGGTGTTGCTGAAGTTCCCTGATGTACTACTCACCATCAGCCAGGATATGTTTGTGCATCAGCTATGCGAATTGTGTTACGAGATCTCGTGCGCATTTTCAGAATTTTACGACAAGTGCTATTGCGTGGAGAAGAATCAGGCTGGCGAGATCGTGAACGTGAACATAGGGCGTCTCTTACTTACAGAAGCTACCGCGCTAGTTATGGAAAAATGCTTTGCTCTGTTGGGTTTAAAACCTGTTGCACGTATGTAGGAGAATATTTATTTTAAATATAAGAGAAATAGCGTACTTCCAATTTAACAGTGGTGTTAAATGCAACATAAGATTTATAAAATTTCTGTGCAAATATTTCCTTTATATATGATATTTTCCTAATTTTTTTTTATATACATTGTGTCTATCTTACAATACAATTTAGTTCAAATTAATAGGTCTCATATGATATTATATCTAATGCGATATTTACTTTAAATTTGTATAAGATAATAAAGATTTTAAATAATATTTCGACTATTGGGTGTCTGTGTATGATGATAATTTTTACAGAATACTTATATTTTCGTTAGTATAATCTATCGAATTTTCAATCAGAATTCTCTTTTGTTTATGTATAAATTTTACGTAGATTTTAATGAGTTAATCTTTTACGTTTTTATAATAATACCGCAATTAAACCTAACCTAACCTAACCTAATCTAGTCACAATTTTGAACTGATGCGATAATAAAGGCGTGTATATACATACGTTAAACATATTCCTATGTATGTAATATTTTGGACCGATATACTAAGCGCTGATCATTTTTCTAGCATATTTTTAATAAACATGTTGGAAAAGTATAAACCGCTATAACTCAGCAAAAAATCTTATAACGGTAGCGAAGCTGCTGACAGCATAATGCAAAGCACTTATTAATGCCCAATTTCTTCATCTCCGGTTAACTTTATCTGCCAGTTATTCTATTGAAATTGACCAATCATATTTATGGTTGGCAAGATTAACCAATCACGGTTGACATTTATTCGACAGATAAAGTTAACCGGAAGTGAAGAAATTGGGCGTAAGCTGTTTTTCTATACTGAATATATACTGCATCATGAAGAATGCATTGCATTATAAAGTTAACGTGTAATCGGTTATGATTGGCTACTGCGAGGAGTGAATGCAGCTCGTATCATCCACGTGTTCCGCAACGTGCGATCCGTGCCGTATGTGATAGTTAATTCCACTGTCCGCATTAAATATTATCAAAATGGTAAGCCTTTATGTGTCAACGAATACTGAAATGTTTCATTCTTTAAAAATTATTTGTGTAAACATTCGCATTATGCTGTACGATCGCTGATCTGTATTTGATTGCTTTAACCTGTTCACCGGACAATTTATAGCTAACCTTCAATTATTACGATATAATAACAAAGTTAAGATTTTCTATTATTTAATTTACATAAAGGATATATTATATGCTATTGTTTTAACATACCAATTGCCAAAATATGATGTATGTGACAGACTACAGAAAGAAAAGGAACTTTTAAAGTTGAATATCTTCAACAAATTGAGAGAGAAGTACAAGCAAAATGGGAAAACGCGAAGGTATACGAAGAGAATGCACCTTTACAAGATAAGAAGTTACCGGATGAGAAGTTTCTCGCAACTTTTCCATATCCTTACATGAATGGACGTCTCCATCTAGGTCACACCTTCTCATTGTCAAAATGTGAGGTATGTATCCACTTACTGTCACATTTATAGCCTTTTATAGGATCTTACATTATTTTGAACAAGATATATAATAATAATTGTATGTACAATAAGTAACACAATAAATATTGTTAGTTTGCAATTCGGTATAATCGCCTCCTCGGAAAAAGTGTACTTTTTCCTTTTGGCTTTCATTGTACTGGTATGCCTATTAAGGCATGTGCTGATAAGCTGAAAAGAGAAATAGAACTATATGGCTATCCACCACAATTTCCTGAGGAATTGGAGACGAAAGAAGAACAAGTGGATGATATAGTACCAAAAGATAAAAGCAAGGGAAAAAAGGTAAAAAGAAAATACTAAAATACAATAGAATAATATATGTTTCTGAAAGAATTAAAGTTGATTGATATGAATTTCAGAGTAAAGCAGTTGCCAAAGCAGGCTCAGCCAAATATCAGTGGCAAATTATGCAATCTCTTGGCTTAAAAGATGAGGAAATCAAGAATTTCACAGATGCTACCTACTGGTTGGATTACTTTCCACCACTCGCTGTGCAAGACTTAAAATCTATTGGACTACATGTGAGATACATAATATGCTTTCAGATATTGCTTTTCAAAATTTCTACATCTAATCTAATCTTTAATGTTGTTTTAGGTGGATTGGCGAAGGACCTTTATTACAACAGATGCAAATCCATTTTACGACTCTTTTGTACGCTGGCAGTTTAATCATTTAAAATCTAGGAACAAAGTTAAATATGGAAAGAGATACACCATTTATTCACCGAAAGACGGGCAACCTTGTATGGATCACGATAGATCCTCTGGCGAAGGCATCGGGCCGCAAGAGTACACGTTAATCAAGATGAAAGTGCAGGAACCTTATCCCCAGCAACTCAAGTAATATTCCTTGTATTGAGTTATGTTTTGTTTTATATATATATATATATATATATATATATATATATATATATTTATTATTTGCAATAATTTTTTAATAGGCTTTATAAAATGTTATTATAGAAAGCTTTGCGGTAAACAAGTCTATCTTGTAGCTGCAACTTTGAGGCCCGAGACAATGTATGGTCAAACAAATTGTTGGGTGCATCCAGACATGAATTACATAGCATATGCCTTAGCATCTGGGGATGTATATATTTCTACGGAACGTGCGGCGAGGAATATGTCTTATCAAGATTTCTTTAAAGAGGAAGGAAAGATAGATATTCTCCTGAAGTTTACGGGCAAAGTATGATTTGTTTATTCATACAATAGAAATCAATTACATTTGCAGAGTTTTTAAATCAAAAATTTATATTTTCAGGATATATTGGGACTACCGTTGAAAGCTCCTCTCACTTTTAACAAGATGATCTACGCATTGCCGATGTTGACGATAAAAGAAGACAAAGGTACCGGTATCGTGACTTCTGTCCCTAGTGACTCGCCCGATGATTATGCTGCATTAGTGGATCTGAAAAAGAAAGAAGCATTTAGACAGAAGTACGGAATCGCCGACGAGATGGTGTTGCCGTATGACCCAGTAAGAGTAATGACCAATCATTCAGTGATACATGATAGACACTATAATTATAAGACTATATCTTTACGCATTAGATTCCAATCATCGATGTTCCGGAACTCGGAAATTTGGTGGCAGTAACGTTGTACGATCAGTTAAAGATTCAATCTCAAAATGACAAAATTAAACTCATGGAAGCAAAGGAGATAGCATACATGAAAGGATTTTACGACGGCGTACTATTAGTAGGTCCATATAAGGGCAAGAAGATACAGGATATCAAGAAATTAATTCAAAAGACGATAATTGATAATGGCGAAGCAGTGATCTATTATGAACCAGAGAAGATAATCATTTCGAGGTCGAATGACGAATGTATAGTGGCTCTGTGCAATCAGTGGTATTTGGATTACGGCGAAGAGAACTGGAAGAAACAGACACTGGAGGCTTTGAAGAACCTGGACACCTTTCACGATGAAGTTAGAAAGAATTTCGTCGTTTGTCTCGATTGGCTTCACGAACACGCATGTTCTAGAACATATGGACTTGGTAAATATCCATTATCTGTTGAACTATCCCCTGATTATAGCTATCCTTTTGATTTTCAAATTTTTAGGTACCAAATTACCGTGGGATGAGAATTGGTTGATAGAATCTCTGTCCGATTCCACGATATACATGGCTTACTACACAATAGCGCATTTCTTGCAAGGGGGAACATTCAAGGGAAACAAGCCTAACACATATGGAATAAAGTAAATAAAATTAAAATTAACTGTTACAATACTGAACAGTTAATCATTTCGTTTATATTAAATGGCATTTAATCGTTTCCGTTAGAGCCAGCGATATGACTCCGGAAGTATGGGATTATATCTTCTTCAAAGATGCTAAACTGCCTAAGAGTAATATAAAGAAAGCGGCATTAGATCATATGAGACGCGAGTTTCAGTACTGGTATCCGGTAGATTTGAGAGTATCGGGAAAAGATCTTGTGCAAAATCATCTTACTTATTTCCTCTACAACCATACAGCAATGTGGCCGAATCAACCTGAATTGTGGCCGCAAGGGATTAGAGCGAATGGTCATTTACTCTTGAATTCAGCGAAGGTAATGCACAATTATAAGTTCGAAATTTCCTTATATGTAATATTTTAATTACTATTTCGGCAGATGTCCAAATCAGAAGGTAACTTTTTAACGCTCGCAGAGGCTGTGGAAAAATTCTCGGCCGACGGAATGCGTCTTTGTCTAGCTGATTCCGGCGATTCCGTGGAGGATGCTAATTTCGTTGAGAGTACAGCCGATGCAGGAATTCTCAGATTATACACTTTCATAGAATGGATTAAAGAGGTGTTAGCTATGAAAGATTCTTTCAGGCATGGAGAACCGTGCACTTTTAATGACAAAGTGTTTGAAAGGTATCTGTATGATTCTTCAGAGATATATTTCAGATATTGTCAAATCGATATGAAACACGTTTTGATTCCAATATAGCGAAATGAATTTGAAAATTCGAGAGACCGGAGAAAATTATTCACGGATGCTTTACAAGGAGGCACTCAGGACAGGATTTTTCGAATTTCAAGCGGCTAGGGATAAATATTTGCAATTGAGCGCGTTGGACGGTATCAATCGAACACTTATTATGAAGTACATAGAACTTCAAGTCATTATCTTATCTCCTATTTGTCCGCATGTTTGCGAGTACATATGGGGGCTTGTTGGTAAAGTAAGTGTTTTCTTGGTATTATAAAGATATTGATGGATTAGTGTCTTTATATGGAGATTTAATTGATGAATACGATGCAGAACGGGAGCATATTAGATGCAAGATGGCCTACAGTAGGAGACATAAACGAGATTCTTATTAAATCGTCGCAATATCTTATGAGCGCAGCTCATACATTTAGAATTCTTCTAAAGAATTATGTGACACCGAAGAAGCCTTCAAAGGGAAAGAGCGATGCTTCGGCCGTAGAGAAACCCACGCAAGGAATTATTTGGGTAGCCAAGACTTATCCACTTTGGCAAAGTATCGTTCTCACGACTATGAGGGAGATGTATGTTGTAAGTAGTAATAGCTCCTGTGCAGCGCAATGATTGACTTTTCTTTTTTTTTCGTATATATATTATTGTCTTTATTTACATTGCAGAAAAACGGGAATAAATTACCTGACAATAAAGCACTCGTCACGGAGTTTGGAGGCAAGGGCGAGTTGAAAAAGTACATGAAAAAGATAATGCCGTTCGCGCAAGTTGTGAAGGAAAAAGTAGAAACCGTCGGTCTCAGCGCGCTGAACTTGACGCTCGATTTTAACGAGTTTGATGTGCTCGAGAGCAACAAAGATTATCTCAAAAATACATTAGATGTAAGTAGTTCCCGTGATATTCGACGATTCTGTTGATTGTATATACATATGCGTATATATTTACTTTATTTCTCTGTTTCCCTCATAATCAGCTTCATGAGATTATCATCAAGTATACGGATGAAGCCCCGGAGAAGACGAAGGAAGAATGTTGCCCAGGCGCTCCGTACATGAGTTTCTCTAAGAAAACTGCAGTTCCAGTGCATATTATTAATCCACAAAGTAACTGCGGTTTATTTGAATTGTCTATAAATGTCTCACAAGCTGATACGGCCTCAGATGTCGTGTCTCGTATTGCGAAACATTATAAACATATAAAAGGTATTTATTTACTTCTAAATGATACGTAAATCAATTGGTGATAATATACATTAATTGACGGACTTATTTGTAATATGAAATTTATTGTTCTACTTTTGTGTGTCTAGATCCCGCTTTGATCGCATTGTATCGATACGAGGATCCAGTTCTGGGAGCAAGAATGAAACCAATGATAAGGGATATTTTCAAAGGAAAAATTGAGATTCCAACGGATTCTGTATTTAATATAAACGCGGAAACGGGGGATATTGAAATCAGTGTTATGGGCAACGTATACCCGATAGGCGAGAAATTAGTGTACATCGATAAATCTCTGGAAAAGTAGATGCATTTAATCTCGCCGGGAAAATTTAGATTATATTATACTGATATGTAAGTACATAATAAATTATTTATAAAATGGTGTGTGAGAAAAGTACGTCAACGAGACAGTATTAAACGCAAAATAAATATGCGTTTATAAAAAGAAATAGGAAAGCGTTTTATTACTCTTAGATTGACTGCAATGTATTTATGTAACAGCAATATATTGCAAATGAGAAGAAAAAGTATGTTATAAAGAGTCTTTGTATTTAATATTTAATTTATATTAACATCTTTTTGTATACACTCGACAGAGATAATGTTTTTACATTTGGAAACTGTTTTCTGAACACCAATAAAAAAATATTAAAATCTCTACAACAAGGTACATGTTTCTGACAAAGTGTCAGAGCATCTCATAAGGCATACGATATCGTGATGATGATATTGTGTCATCAAATCACTCGAAGCCGAACATTCTTGATAATCGTTAAATCTCTACGTTGCTCGGCGTTGATCCACTTTGGACTTGATCCGTTTGACATCAGTGGCGTACGTTCTACAGCAACCGCCGATATAGCGCACGCCAAGGTCCAACCATTCGTCAATGAACTCGTGCAGAGAAAGAACCTCTCCGTCCTTCTTCCATCCTTCAGTCACCACATATTTCTCTCCGCTATTAGGATACACTACCAACGGTATGAAATCCTCGGTGTTACCTTTATTCACGCCTTTTAACAGAGAGGTAACGCATTGCGGGGCGATGCAATTAACACCGACTGCTAATATCTGTCCAGGTAGCGCGTTCTTGTAGCATCTTACGGCAGTCTCCCGGAAGCTGGTGCCGTCCGCCAGGCTCTTGCCGTCGTCGCGACACGAAAAGGACAGCCAGGCGCGCGCATTCGGAAATTCCTTCAATAGCTCGACCACAGCGTCCGCTTCGCGTTCGCAAGGGATCGTCTCTATCGCCAATAGATCAACACCTTCCTCCAACAACGCGTGTACACGGGGCCTGTGCCAGTTGATTAAGAATTCCTGCGACACACGCGCGCCGTACGAGCCGGTATACTCCGAGCCGTCGTGCAAGCAGGCACCGTAGGGCCCGCAGGATCCGGCGATCAATGGCTTTCGATTCGTCACGCTTGTGTAATTTTCTATCTCCTTATTGTAGACGTTCACCGCGTTTTTAGCATGATCGACGGCTCTGCGGATTATCTCGAGGCTCTCCTCTTCGTTGATGCCCAAGTATTCGATAAAGCCGTCGATCGTCGCCTGATACGTGTTGGTCTGTATGATATCAGCGCCGGCTCGCAGAAAATCCAAGTGAGTGGCGAAAACCGCGTTTGGCTCCGTCACGAGGAAACGCGCGGTCCACAGAGGATCGCCGTCGATTTTCTCGCCAACGTGAGTAGATAACTGTGTGGAGAATCCACCGTCCAGTACTTTTATCTTTGACATACTTTAACTCTCTCGAATATGATCTCTCAAATTGCTTTTGATTTTTCCAAAGGTTCTCCCTTTGAAGATGATGCCGATGTGCAGTACCAGTGAAGACGAAGACACGTTTCGTCGACCTGATTGCTGGCTCGCGATCAAATGGCGACGGAGCACCGAGAAAAAGTCTTCTGACTATGTCGACCGTGCGTCTCAATCGCGTTCTTGTAATGTCGCTTACTCTGATGACAATATGAAGAAGTCAATTGGATGCGCGTAACTTATATGCGCTCTCGCGAGGAGCGTTCCCCATCGTTATCGTCGGGGCCTACATTCTGATTGTTAATCTAGCACGTAATCAGCTAACGCACAAACAGAGATTGCGGGACACATGTCTTCCGCGTCGTGCATCGTGCATGTCCACTAAATCGTTGCGTCACACGCGTTATTTATTGCGTTTGTACAACGCGCTCAGTTTATTGGCAGGTATTTAGTAAACAGTATATAGAGGAAAGGGGAGACGATGTTGTCTGACGATATCCACGAATGGACTGCTCTCCACCAAATGACCTTACGGGATAGACTCAATGCCAAAGGTCAGCATCTAATCTAAGCGGATAACGTAACAGGATATGGATTTTGAACAGGGCTAAATTCATGAGACGGCAATGTGAGAAGGAAGATAATTGGTTTGCATATAATTTCTATTAATTTAAAAAATAACTACATCCGGCTATGATGTATCGTGTGTCGCCATCGCGTATTATCGATGTGTTTGTCCGCGCCGAAATCCGTAAGCAATATTGTGTTTGCTCTCCCGAAAAACATTTTTATATTGTTTGTTCTCGAGCCGCTAATATCTATTTTCCCCAGAAGATACGACTTAATTATTCCGCAATATGTCGTTCGAAGTCAATGCTGCTGTTCTGTGAGGCGATAGCGATCCACCAACGAGCGAATCGCGCGTATATCTTCCGCAAAGACCTTGCAGCAGCCGCCGATATAACGCACTCCCAGATCGAGCCATTCCAACACAGGCAAATTAATTCGCTGATTGTCCGGGACCGGTATCCATTCGTCGGTTTCGGAATAAGAGCCGCCTCTGTTGGGATACACCACCAAAGGAATAAAACCCTGCGTGTCACTGTCCTTATTGATCTCTTGCAACAAGCTTTTCACATAATTTGGTGGGACGCAGTTGATGCCCACCGCGACGATTTGCTCGGGCAGGGCTCGGTAGCAGCGTACAGCTACCTCTCGGAAGTCGCTTCCATCAGCTATATGTCGGTCGTCGCGGCAAGAGAACGAGAGCCAGGCACGAGCCTGCGGAAACTCCCGCAACAAATCTACCAACGCGTCCGCCTCTTTTACGCAAGGTATAGTCTCCAGAGCTAACAAATCGACGCCGGCGTCCAATAACGCTCGTATGCGCGGTCTATGCCAGTTCATTAGTTCCTGTCGCGACACGCTCTTTCCGTAGGCTCCGGTATACTCCGACTTGTCATGCAGACAAGCGCCGTAAGGTCCGCATGAGCCAGCTACCAAGGGCTTCTCAGCATTTTGCTCGTCCTCTGTCGTTTTTTCCTTCATATAAGCGGCTACTGCCTGTTTAGCCAGTTCTACAGCCTTAGCTAGCAAGGTGAGACTTTCATCCATGCTGATGTTCAGATGCTTCATAAGACCTGATACTGATGCCTGATACGTGTTGGTCTCGATTATTTCAGCACCGGCACGCAGGTAGTTCAGGTGTGTATTGTACACGGCCGATGGATTAGTCTGAAGGAACCGCGCTGTCCACAACGGGTCGTCGTCGAACTTAGCACCTACATGGCGAGACAGTTGACCGGAGAAACCGCCGTCCAGCACTTTAGCGCGTATCATTGTTGCTATTGAGGATACTAGCGACAGGTGATTGCTATTTGATGATCAATGCCTGACGATATCTAAATTCTACGTTTTCGTTACTATTTGCAATTACAACTTGTCTCTCCTCCAGGCTGTCCTCTGACTTCTGACACTTCCTGTTTGATGACCCTCGACTTGAAACGTGGCTCAAAGCTATATATATTAATGTCTGCTTGTTAGCAATACGACGTCTAGAAGCAGATTTCGATAAGAAGTGTCTTTTATTTTTTTCTGCGCTTAGGATTATTTCCACATTTTTTTAGATGAATAAATGAAGTGATTCAAAGTCATGTGCATTAAGAAGTCTCTTATCGCTAGCTTTGGCTAGAATAAGTTTTCAATGTCTTATTTATCTGAAAGAAAAAAAAAATATTTTTATCTGAAAGAAAAAAAGAAAGAAAGAGGGACGAATCGCTAATAACAATCTATCTAATATAGTTGCATTGTTATTGAACAAACATATGATATACAACAAATACCTGAATTGTTGATGATACAGCATACGCTTCTGATCCCTCGCTGCGGCCATCTTGTATTGCGCGACATTGAGAATGATAACATGATACTTACATGAGCAATACGTATGTCGAGATAGACAAGACACAACAAAATTCGTAAAGCAAATCTGCTAAGTAAGCAGATTCTCTGCTATCTTTGCCCTTTGTTTGTTAAAAATCTGATTTAAGTCCAAATGTATTATAATGGAAATGAAAATTTATTATAGTTCATATTTTATTTTTTTTTATAAAATTAACCATTCCATAGTAATTTTTTGCATAAATGTGAATCTAACAAAGATCTTACGGTTAAAATTGTTATTAATTGTCTGTTTCTTTTTAAATCGATTATAAAGTTTAGTATAAGTAAATTATAATTAGTTATTTACTTATGGCATACGAAATTCACGATCTATCTGTTTTACTTTTTGATGTAAACTTTAAAGACAATCTAATTAATCTGTTTATTTTTTTGTGAATATTTTCTGTTTGCACTGTTACATGTCATATCTCATAAACGGATCTATCATATTAAATTCTCTCTCGAGCAGTCTTGTTTATTTCCCGCGTTAATAAATAATGCACTCTATCCTTGTTCGTAAAATTCAAGCGATTGATCATTTGCGAAATCTTGCTGGATGTTGCGTTATTTACTGTGCTTTATTCGCTGTACTTTATCCTCGCATGATTTTTAACAAAAATATAGATAAGGAAATAAACATAAGAACAAGCAATCTGCGTCTGATTCTGAAGTTCTACATTTGATTCAATAGCAAATTTTACAAAAATCTTAATATTATACGCTATTAATATTGTATTCAATCACATTAAACACTGCAATAATATAAATAATATAAATAATATAATAATATAAGACAAAATAAAACACTTCTTGTTTCATGATAAAATGTTAAACATATAGAATTTATCTCCGATGTGTTTCCACAATTCAACAATATAAAAAAAGTTATCTAAAAAAAAGAAAAGTCGGAAATTTGGATAAAATTTATTATTTAGAAGAGTTTATTATTTAGAAATTTGCTTGAATTCGCTATTTAAGTGTATATTGATACTATGTATTAATAACTGTTAATACATAGGCATTACTGTGTTTATTTCTTTATAATTGTATGTATGTTATAAATTAAATTTTTTTTGAAAGAAATTCTTGTTAAGCTTACTTTTTACAATAGAAAACCAAAATGATTTTCTACAACAGCATGTGGTTGTCCCATCTGTTCCCTGAATTCAGAAGTATTGAAAATGTCTTCAAACCTAAAAAGAATATTAGGAAAGAAATATATTTAAGGATTATCTAATATAGATTGATCAACTTGCTGCAAAAATAATTATAGTTAAAAAATTATAATTATATAATTACCCTATATCTTGGTCTTTTCCAAGCAGAACATCTCGCATTACATTGGATGATGATAAAAATGGAAGTCTTCCAATCTTTTCAGTTGCTTTTAATTCCATTGCTATACGTAATGGAGCATGTAATCCTTGGGTATTTTTAAGTAACACCATATTCATACGATCTTGGTTTCTTTGATACTGAAATACAAATGTACTTGTCATTAACTGTAATTTTACAATAGAGTTAATCATATTAATAAAATACAATTATATCTTACATTTTTTTCTGAAGCTTGCAACTGATTTACAGGGCCAAAGTTCTGTTTGGTGGCTGACAAGCTAAAGAAACAAAAACAACATTAGTCTTTAATATCAAACTATAGAAAATGGATCAAGTATATTCAAGTTTACTGGAATCATTTAGAATCATTTTGATGAAATTAAATTCATACTATATAAAATAATTTTCTAATTTTAACTTTGATGTGTATTTTCATACCCTGATATCATAGGACTTGATATTCCATAACTACTTCCTTCTTGAATGTTAAATTTTTCTGGTATAGTAGGTTTAGGGATCAGTGATGGCAAACCAAAACTCTGAAAAATTGTAATATTAAACTGAATTTTTATTCTACAGTTTTTATGGATATATATATATATATATATAACTTTTTAATATAAAATTGAACATTTTTTATGTTTTACACAAAACAGTAACAATTTAAGATTTACAAATTACAAAGAATGAGTTAGCAAATTTGCAAGGCAAAATACGAATGTAGATCACTATTCTTTGTTATTGCACTATATATATTAACTATATATATTAACAAAATCTTATAACAATAAAATTCACCACTAAATAAAAATTAAGTGTCATTGTTAACCTAACCTGTCAATACATTCCTGTCATTACATACATATAATATACAATATGTTATGCAAAATAATTTAAAAAATTGTAGTTAATTTATGTGTAAACGCACTGTTGAAAGATGTTATTAATTATTACCATTTTAATGTTTTTAAATTTGCGTACGACAGAAATTACTCCACAGAGCTGGTACAATCGATGACGCGCTGCTTGCGATAGTGGCTGCGTTCCGAAATTCACTGTCAGTACTGAAATTCTATAGTATATGTGACATGAACTATAGATTTTCAGTACTGGAAGTGAATTTCGGAACGCAGCCAGTTCAGTTCAGTTTCATCATATGGCTGAGCACACCAAGTCTGTGAGTGACTCTACGCCATTACTCCGAACAGTGCTTCCATCGTACATGAGTTGCAAGCGATGGGTGTATTCTCAAATAGTGTAGCCAATTCTAGTTAGGAACTTGGAGATAGCTTTATAAAGTTTGATGTTTTCAGTACTAAAGGAGAGTTCATGTATATCAACTTGAGTAGAATATCTAGCTTTGTATATTTCAGTAATTAGCTTCTCAGATTTGTCAGAATAAAGGGAGCATTTAAATAAAATATGATTGATATTTTTTTGCTCGGCTCCGCATTCACATGTTTCTTCTTTTATTATATCCTTATCTTTCAGATGGGTGCTTGTGCGTACGTGATATGACCTCAACCTAGCCATCAACGATATCACATCACGTTTGACAAATCTAAATTCACAGAACCATGGCCTATTTGCGACTGCTTGCAATAGCAACAGTAAAGAATCTCTAGGCTGCGTTCCGAAATTCACTATCAGTACTGAAATCTATAGTTCATGTTACATATACTATAGAATTTTATAGCACTGGCAGTGAATTTCGGAACGCAACCCAATTCTTTGTGTTGATGGTAGCGATTTGTAGCGGATAAGTTGGAATTAATTTTCTGCATTTTTAGTCAAGACTCAAACCTACTTATTCAATACTGAAACTATTTTATCTACCGGTTTTCTCACAATATTTTTAGGTGGCGCCAGATAGCTACATCCAGCAAATCAGCTATTATTATAAATTATAGTTCTAAAATCTCCGCTACGAGTCATCATCATTTCTTACCATCAATTGAAATAGTAATGTTCGTATTATGTAAGGGTCAGATAGGCTTAGCACCTAGACCCGTACACTTTTTGTACACCCTTTATTCCTAATAAAAAAAGAAAAATAAAATAGTAATGAAACTCAATGTGATGATCTAGCGAGTTAATTGTTCAAGTAGTACAAACTCAACAGAAGATCAGATATCTTGTTATTTTCAAATAGCATAATTTTCAAAGACTGTTTAAGAGATTTTATTTTTTAATCGTACTCAATTATAGATCAGATATGATTTCTTTTCTAAGAATACATTTTAATCAGAAATGCATTTTTTGAAAATGCAATGTTTTGTGGAATATCTTACATTTACAAATGCCTCTTATTGTCGATTAATCACAGTTGACAATAGATATTTATATCTCAAATTTTAAATTGTTACTTGAGATATAATTCTCTGGAAACTTCGGGATTTTTGTGCTTTTTATCGAACTTATTTGTAATTTTGACCATACTTATGCATTAGAAAGTGAAAATGTGAAATCACACAAATATAACGTGAAATCGTGATTAGAAGACATCAACACGCATGACGACTTCAACGATCGATCAAACAAGTTGCTTAACCTACAACATTTTATAATTCTTATGGATTTGCGCGCGTCTGCGAGTAAAAAATTACAATAACTCATAGGTTATTATCAAAGTTCCGCAAATTTGCAAACACTATGTCCGTATATGTGAGAAGAAGAAGTACCTTGCGACAATCATTCAGTAAATTATTATCGATGAAACTTCTGCTACCTGTCAGGGTAAGGAAATAACGTTTTAGCGACGGATCGTCCCAGCAATAATACTATTTGCACTACTATTTTCAGCTTCACATCAGTCGAATCGTTTTCTTAAATCCCAATATAACTTCAACCAAAAACCTCACGTCTCATATAGTATAAATATTTAAAAGACATCTTAGAAACGACTGAAAGATATCCTATTTGTTTTAGATGTCTTAGAATATCTCTAAAACATATATTAAATCTGTTGTTTTGAGCACATACCTTAAAATAGCACAAATCTCCTTTATAGAGACATTCTAAAGACATTCAGAGGATATCTCTACTCTCTTAAAGTGAATCAGTAAAACATCATTGAAAGCAGTAAATATATACTGATTTGCAGCTATAAGTACAGTACTGAAACTGCTCAGTGCTATACTTATAACTGATATTAATGACTGTTCACTGATCTACTTTAAGAGAGTATATCCTAAGGATATCCATAAAATATCGTCTGTTATCTGGATATGTCTTCTTTCTTAGCATTAACATCTTCCAGGTCGATAGATTAAAAGGTCGTTATTTATTCCGGTCAGCGGTGCGGCGCGTTTTGGCATATATGGAATGGATAATGGAGGAGCTGGTGGTTGAGGAGACTACCGATGACGTAACTGTCAACATCAGAATGACTGAAGAAAAGCAAAAAAAGAAAAAGAAGCTACTGACGTTAAAGGTACGCGAAATGGAGTTGCGTAAGAGTTAAACGAAATATTATAAAAATATATAGATGCGTATATATGGCGTGTGAAAAGTTCGCATTTGATTCAAGGATCGGTCAATATTGCTGGTGAATCCGTCGGAGAGATCCTCTGAAGATAAAGTGTACATATACGAGCTCATCAAGAAACTGCGCGCATTCGTAAAGTATCCGGAGGACGTGAGGGAGAAACTGGCGGCAGTGTGCTTTTATCAATATCTACCCGCCGATCGGATAATCGTTCGTCGAGGTCGCAAAGCGGATAATCTCTATTGCATCGCGAACGGCGAGGTCAACCTGTCGAAAGTAACGATTGACGAATTGACAGGTGAGGAAAAAATCGGTGTGAATTATTTTTGCGTGTTTCGGATTGCAGAGAATTTCGAACAAATTCCATAAGATCTTAATTACTAAGCGACCTGAGTGATACCGGTTGCTAATTCCGGGCCGATAAAAAAGATTTGGTAGTTAGCAACTGCCTGACATGCAGGACTGATCGTAGAATCCTTTTGGTGAAATGTAAAGTTGAGGTAAAAAATTCTGAAACGTGATTCTCTCTTCGTCAGGCGATGAGAAAGACATGGATATTGGTACCTTACGAGCGGGCGACATGTTTGGCGAAATCGCGCTGTTGCACTCCATACCGAGAACATCCACGGTAGTTAGCAAAAGTTAGTAGAAGCGAATCATGTAGAATTCATTTGCCTAACGATAAAAAATCTTCTATTGAGATTCATACCGCTTCTCTTTGTTTCACTGATGCGCCATTTAGCGTCGGTCGACTTAATTCTCGTGCCTCAATACGAATTCGACAGCATCTTGCGTTACGTCCTGTTGAAGAAGTGGCACGTTCTTCGCGACGCGTTAGTCCACTTCAATTACTTCAAGTGGTGGAGCGACGAGACAGCACGGGAGTGTTGTATTCTGAGCAAGCTGAAGGACTTCAAGGCTGGCGAGGTAAATGATTACGAAGTCGTTTTCGCTTGGGAGGATCTTGGCGCGACGTAATTTGCGCGACTTTTGTCTCTGTAATTACAATAAATCGTTGGTAAAGACATAAGATGCACATAAGATAAGGTATTGAAAAGAAAAATTTATTATCTTCAAGATCCTGCTGGGCGACGGAATGGGTATGGTGAATTACGTGCATTTCATCTTGAGCGGTGAGTGTCGTCTCATCGAGCACATGCTCGTTCGCGAGAGCTCTACCTGCAGAGGAACGCGATACGAACTGTATGATCCAAACACCTCCGACTCGTTTCAACCTCATCATCCGAGAAAGGTATCGGATGAGATCGAGCGAATATATATGCGAATATATATCGAGCGAGAATATATGAATCGAGCGAGATATATGAATTTCATTATAAATTTAGTTGAATACGATTTTTGTAAAAGAGGAAACTTTTCTTTTCTCACTTCTTTTCTCTTATAATAATAGATGTACTTTTTTACTGCAGCGACACGCCCAGTCGCTAGCTGATAATGATCAATCGAGTATCGTTACCACTACACTCGTCGACGTCGTGAGTATTTAAATTATACTGTATCTCTTCTTATATAATATAAGAATCATCTTATATTGAATTAAATATATCGTAACGAGCTTATTTCACTGTCAAATATATTAATTCTATTGAAAGAGTTAATAAAATAATTGTTATCGTTTATATCTGCGAATAAATTCGTTGGAATAATTCGTTGAATTTGACAAACACGTTTAGGAAAAATAAGCGTTAACAAAATTACATAATTGATTGACGTAAATTACATAATTGATTTCATAAATTGGCGTGCATTAATAAATATTACGTAAACTAGATTAAAGCGTGGCATGAGATCACCGACGTCGCGGCGATGTTAATGCAAGAGCCGTCCGTCACATCGCAATTGCGTTACCCTGATGATATCCAAACCGTATTCATGCAGGTGTGCATCTTCTCTCGGGGCGCTTGCTTTGGTTTAGGTGAGAGAAACGCAAGTCTGAGTTTTTTTCTCTACGTTTTGTTTTTCTCTATGTCAGTACTTGGAATTACTTGCATCTTTCAAAGCGATTTTCAACTTCATTAGATAGATCTGCAGAACTTCCCTTAATTTTGGACAGTTTTTTTTTTTAATTATTGTTTTATCGTAATTATAATAACATACAACGTGTGTTGGTAGATAGAAATGATAAGAATTTTTCAGAAATTGGGGGGAGTCCCGCAGATCTTATTGAGTTGACAATCCTGAGGCTAAGCGATGTTTAGCGGGCGTGAGCGTGAAAGAGAAAAAAGGAAAAGAAAGTAATCCTCGAAAATACAGATAATTCCAAGCACTGCTCTATATAATGCACATTCGTATTGTTCAATATATTGAGGCTTATTGAATCAGGTGAGAATATGCTTCATCGAAGGATTGTGGCAATCACATCGATGCGATGTTTACTTATCCCGAGATATTGGTTACTCGAGCAGAATCGCGCTAATATCTGGGGGCGCGTGAAACTGTTCATCGACTCGAAGTATCCGACGAAGAAGCAGCTGTTCGATCGATTCATACAAAATCGAAAGTACGATTGATTCTGTCGAAATACAATAATTACGTGTTTCCAGATTCCTTTTGATTATCGACAGTCTGTTCTCATAAAATTCTTGGGTTGTTATTTGGATTTTTGTTTCAGATGGATTGCGTACAAGCGGAATTTAGTCAAGAATGTTGTCAAACAACGCGGCCTTTACCGCAGCAACACTACGGTGCACGACGTGCCGTATTCCATCCGGATTACAGAAGATATTAACACATAGACTCGAAGACATACAACTCTTTCTTCTCCACTGATTCGTTGGACAGCGGAAGTAATCGCGGAATAAATTAATGAAAAGTTTCAAAGGTAACTGTTTATTCACAAAACCTGCAACAAAACATCTGTTATTATACTGATACTTTTTCACATACACGCTGACATATAATGGACATTAAAATTATTATTATTTCGTAACATCGACAGAGAAGGAATAGGGAGAGAAGTGTACGGATAGTATATTGAATTTTTAAAAATTACACAAACCTTATTTCTTATATTAAAAGGAAGAAGTCCTATAACAGATAGCGATGATTATTATCTCTTTCTTCTTCAGTGGAAAGAACACGAAAATAAATAAATAACGCCACGGAATTTTAAATAAAATCATCAGGAGAATATTTGAATAGAATGTTGCGACTTCTATCTGTTAACTATGAAGATAATAATATTTAGATATTATTATCTTACATATCTTATCTATACGACTATATTATATCTTATTATTATAAATGCACTCACATTACGTTAGTGATACTGCAAAGATATATACTATATTCAATACTATGTTCAATACGTCCTATATTCATCTAATTATAAGACGCGCGCGTATCTCCGATTGTATTGTCTTCATTGGCTTAACTAAACAGTACAAGCGTTAATAATCGTGCGAGGTTGTATCTTGCAAATTACAATTTTGTTTTAACTACATTAGAATTATTATCGTTGATAGTACTTTTTTTCTGTTGTACGACGTTGTACTTTTCTATTTCTGAACGAATGTACTTGATATCGTGAGCGATTGTACCGCAGCAACCGCCGATAATAGTCGCTCCCATGTTCAACCACTCCGATATAGGCAGATTCAAGGGACTTTTTCGGTCAATTATCTCGATGGTAAAGTCTTCTTTGAATCTGTAGCTAGTTTTATCAGGACACGCTATCAGAGGAACGTTGTACGGGAACGTCTCGCGATGGATGACGTTGAACAAGGGCGATACCAATCTGGACTCGATGCAGCTGACGCCAATTGCCATCATCTGGTTGCCCATGGTACGACAGCAGTGCTTGATTATCTTTCGGAAGTCGCTGCCGTCCGCTAATATACGCTCGTTGTAGCAATAGAACGTGATCCAGGCACGAATATGCGGAAAGTTCTGCAGCATCTCCACGAATGCCGCGGCCTCCTTCGCGCACGGCACAGATCCCAGAGCCAGGATGTCGACTTTGGCGTCCAGTAGTGCCTTCGCGCGTGTCTTATGCCACTCCACCAGGTCGCTTTGCGACAACGCATTCCCATAAGCACCTGTGTACTCCGAGCCGTTGCCTAACGAGGCACCATATGGCCCGCAAAAGCCAACTATGCAAGGACGGACTCTGCGGTGGACTTCCTGATTTGTGGCATTCTTGCTCGTTTCATGGAGATAACTAAACACGGCCTTTCGGGCGATTGACGCGACATTGGTGATAATGGACGAGCTGTCCTTTACGTCAATACCGACAAAGTGATTTAAATTGTATATGGACGCGTGATAAGTGTTGGTCCTTATCATGTTGGCGCCGGCACGTAAAAATTCCAAGTGCGTGTTAAATATAGAGACTTGGTTGTTGAGAGTCCACAGCATGGTGGGTAAATTATCGATAGAAGTCTTGCCCATGGAAATTGCTGCCTGGCTATTGAAGTCACCGTCCAGCACTATCGGCGATTGCGACATTACGGTAGTGATCGGCCGTAGAGTGTCTGTTCCTTAAGATTTTGACGGGATATCCGGACCCTACGTGTTCTTTGACGTATACTTCCGATACGTCGACCCAGAAGATGCACTTGACATAAGATCGCATCTAATAATGCGTCGCTTTGGCGATAACTCCGAAGAAAACAGCCCTAACTTCACTGCGTCACGCAGTCGGTACTTCGAACTGCGAGAGAATAATTGATATTCCTTGAGGAAGGTAAGTTTGCTCGCTCTGTTGTTAAATATAGACTGACATCTAACGAGGATTTATTTTGGATTGTTCGATGCCAATGTTCCTAATCGAGAGTATCACTAAGCTATTACGTAATATTATATTATCGAACTTGTCTATTTGTGTAAACACGGCTGTGCAAACACGGCGTTTCAAATCGCATATATTCAAATCGATCGCGTTCAACATGTTAACTATTTAACAATCTTCTTTAAAAGAAACGAAGAAAGGACTAAGAATAGGAAAGTATAGTGCCACATTACGTATTGTGATTTTAATTTACTTTTGGGCGAATCTTCCTCGTCTCTTAATTGTCTGCAGTTGCTAATGAAAACACTATGTCCAATTGTTTCGAGATTTACAGGCAGATTTAAAGATACATTGCAAGCATTATTAAAATTAAATTATTTTTACTTCAGCATTAGCAGAGAATGAAATTGTACAAATAATATGATTTGAAGAAATTAAGTAGTTTATTTTAGTTTATTTTTTGCTAGGAAAATTATGTGTGAATAAAATAATAAAAATATAAGTTATAAATAATACAATAATAACAAAATAACATATACGTATTAATGAAAGAATGAACTATTTAAAAAATAATCATGATGGTATGTTACTATTCATGAGCTTGCATGGTAATTAGATATAACGGGAGCCGGAGAGATAGTACACAAGATATCTACAATGGAGAGAAAATGTAATTATTATTATTGTCCTCTTATCTATTAAGTAAAATAATAAGAATAATATAGAATTAATAGTCGAGAGTTAAAATAATATAGAGAGAATAATCGAGAGTTAAATTAATATAGAGAGAATAATCGAGAGTTACACGATTTTCGTGTAACGTGTTTCTTATTTGTAAACACGATTAATATGGTTACGAATAAGGTTGAAATTATTATAATTAGATCAATTATAACTCTACCGTTATAACCATTATAACATTATAACTTATCCGATGTTCAATCTCAAGCGTTACATGTAAGGCTAAAAATCGTATAACTTTCGATCGAGAGAATGGTAGGGCAAACATAGCAACCGTACATAGCAAACCGTGTGTATTTTTCGATTGTATTAATCTTCTATTCAAACTGTCTATTCAAACATAAAGCACACGAATACGAAAAGATCATAGCTTCGGTTTATTCTCTTCATTTTGGGAGCATGTCTTAGTAGCGACAGAGTTGGGTCTCGCGAAGCCAAGGGATTCTTGCACTGCATTGTGAAGAAGTCGTATTTCTTCTGCGGTTGCTCCGGATTTACCGCTGATATAGATCACTCCGAGGCTCATAAATTCTTCCACCCAATGCATCGCATATTTTCTTGTCTTTTTTTTCTCGTTCTTTCCTTGAAGATACATTATCATGGGAATATTGTTCTCAAATGAATTAATGTAAACATTTTCCAACAATGATATCTCATTCTCCAGACTAGGGCATATCGCACCGATCGCGAGGACTTGCTCGGGCAGGGAAAAATAGCAATACGTAGCCATCTCTAAAAAGGAACTTCCATCCAACAGTTTCTTATCGTTGCAACATACGAACGACATCCAGACACGAGCGTTTCGAAACTGCCGCAGCAAGTCCACAAGTACTTCCGCTTCCATCCTGCAGGGTATATTCTCGAAGGCCAACAGATCGACACCACTGTTCAATAATATTTGTATGCGGGCTCGATGACACTTTACTAAATCTTGTTCCTCGACGTTCCTCCAGTAATTTACAGGCCCATTACTATCTAATCTCGACACGGCATAACTAGCGCAATGGCCGGCAACTAGAGGCCGGCATTTCTTAAATTGTTCGACATTGGAAGTATCGCCACCTATTTCCTCGTAATACTTGAATACGGCCTTTTGGGCCAGTTCTACGGCAATTGTAATAATAGAGTGAGCTTCTGACCCGAAGATCTCCAAGTGTCTTGCCACAGAAATTGGGGTCACTCGGGCCGTGTTGGTTCTTATTATCTTGGCACCGGCACGCAGAAAATCCAAGTGCGTTCTGTACACGGCGAACCGATCATACACGAGGGCTTTTAGCTCGCACACTGGATCTTGTGAAATAGTATTATCCAAATAGCGACGTAAGTGCGCGGTGAAATCGCCATCTACCACTGTTATTTGGCTCATCGCGTGGACAGGTCGATACTATAGGTTGTTACCAAGATTTTGCTTCTTAATGTCTGCACACGAATGTTCCGATTGTAAATTATCTGCTTTGAACGTGCTCGTTGGCAAGCCTCGATGCGAAAGATAACTGCAAGTAGTATCTACTTCGGACGCTAGTTCCAATTGAAATGAATTTTCTTGCTTCAGTCGCGCTACTAATGACACTAAATTGTGTGAAGTCTGCGAACAGCTAGAGGAGTTGTTTTTATGTGATTTGTTATCAAACAGACACGTGGATCATTTGACAGATGTTTCGATTATTCCTTACAGAAGCTTTTAAACGTTATTAAATTTGTAAACGTTATCGAATCCCGTCGTCTAATCCGAATTTCACAAAAATCTTTGTATTTCTATCTTGTATTTCAAATGATTAACGTGTACAAAGTGTACAGAGATTATAATTAATGTGTTGTGTGTTGAACGACGTGATTTCTTTCGTAAACAGAAAGCAATACACGATACTTTCTCCCTATCGACATTTTGAAGAGAATAGAATTAAAAACGTTATTATTTTCATCATGGAATATCCTTTGTCATGGAAAATCGCGGAGTGAACGAGGATTAGACAATAAAAATTAGTGAATGTCATTGCTTATTGACTACATCACACTTTGCGCGGCGTGGAAATTAGAATTTTAATCGGAGTTTCTACATTCGTGCTACATTACTGTATGTTGACGAACTAGGATAGCGACGTAGCTAGAATTTCATATTTAATAAAGCCCAAGAAACTACACACGGCTAATTAATTGTATCAAACTCTCCTCGTTAATTATCAGCATAGGAGCGTGCGAAAACAGACAGTATTGTGTTTTAATTAATAATATTATTTAAATATTGAAGTTAGTATTTTAATATGAATAGAGAATAAAAGTTATAAGCAGTATAGTGGATTTGCAGAAAATGTGCTGTATTTATTGTCCATTAGGAATAAATAAATAATTATAAATAAGATAATATAGACACAAATTGTACGTAAGAGAAAACTAATACAATAATAAAATAAAATATAAATAAAATAAATAATATAAAATATAAATATAAATAATATAAAATAAAATAAAATAAATATATAAAAGATAAGAATTTTAAATTCTCGTAGACAGAAAACATCTATTATAATATTTATGCGACAATATATCATATGAATGCAGAAGTCATTGGTTTGATGGACCTGCCTTATCTTGACACACTGAAGTGTCTGTTTTGTTTTTGGAAATACGAAAAATCTCTATTTCTTTGCTGATTTGTTTTACATCTTCCGCGCTTGTCAAGCAACCACCACCAAGGTAACGTACTCCGATGTTCACAAATTCTTGCAAAAAATCACCACATGCGTTAGTACACTGTGTAAAACCTAAATAATGTTTTTCAATTCGGAACAAAATTGGAATCTTAGAATCTCTGTTCTTGTTGAGGTCTTTCAACCAGGATTTCATAAATCTAGGATAGGGACAATCAGCTCCGATCGCGATAAATTGGTCTGGCAGGGATTCATAACAGTACGTAGCCGCTTCTGCAAAGGTAGTTCCGTCTGCTAATATTCCATTCATCGAGCATAAGAACGTAATCCAAGCGCGAGATCCCGAACACTTCAGGGCTCTAATTATCGCCTTTGCCTCCATCAAGCAAGGTATTGACTCGAATGCCAGCAGATCGACGCCAGCTGCTAACAACACTTTCATATGTGAATAATGCTCCTCCATTACCACCTGCAGTGGGACAAAATCCCAGTATGCGATAGGTCCATCGCTATCAACCCTCAAAATGTTATAACTGCCGCAACAACCAGCAACTAGAGGCCGACGTTCATGGAATGTCACGGCTTTCGTGTCGCCGCCTGTTTCTTCGTAGTATTGCTTTATGGCTTGTTTGGCCTTCTTCACAGTAACTGTAGTAATGAACTCAGCGTGAATTTCGTCCATATGTAAATATTTCTTCATAAACTTTGTATTCGCTCGGTGTGTATTAGTCTTTATTATCTTGGCGCCGGCACGTAGATAATCCAAATACGTTTTATATACCATGTTCGGGTTACTTCTGAGGATTTCTAAGTCGAACAGAGGATCGTATGCTAGATCTAAATCCAAAAGCTGACGCACATGCATGTCAAAATCGCCATCTATCACTGTTAATTCATCCATTGTACGTACAGTCCCAAGATACCTTGATGTTTGAACACAATGTCGGGACTCAGTGAATAGTTCCAATACAAGACTGTCGCATCCTTTACGCAGAGCGATTATGAAATTTCTCCCTTGGTCGCTATTCAATGTAACGAGCTTCGATGTGAAATCGATGTGTAACTGTAAATCGCGATTATATTTGACATAAATTTCGAATCAAGTAAATTTCATACTTTTATACTCGTCGCGTTGCAAAGGATACTGCGAAACATGCGAGATTGGCGGATATTTAAAAGTTTTTCTCTACGCGGTTTATTATTAAACAGAGACGAACATGTTCGGCAGACCTTTCGGCTATTTGTTAGGGGAGCTTTTAAACGAACATATTGGACTAACGTTCCCAAGTCCTCAATATAATTAGCGTTTTATGGAAACTTCTGTATTATTCTTAAAATTTTAACCTCCTAAACAACGCATGTGTTCATTAATATTCATGTAACAAATACATCATAGGGTAATGCGGGATAAATTGAATAGCGGGGGAATTTGGATAAAGGAGGGTATTGACTCGAATGCCAGCAAATCGACGCCGGCATTTAGTAACGTGTCTATACGCTGTTGGTAAAAAAACGCCACATAATCTGACGTTAAATTTTTATTTTTCATCAGAATATCAGATTGGTCACTGAAGTGCGTAGCGAAGTAACTGCCGCAGCTGCCAGCCACTAAAGGTTGTTGTATATTGATTTGTCCCGTATTATTGTAGTGATTACCTTCCACACTCTTGTAATAGTGATTCACGGCCTGTTGGGCTAACTTTACGGCTAAGGATATCAATTCTAAACCTTTAGATGCAGGAATATTCAAGTATGCCATAAGGGTAGATTTGGATGCTCGATATGTGTTGGTTCTTATTATTTTGGCGCCGACGCGCAGATAATCCAAATGCGTACGGTATATGGCGCCCGGATTAGATTGAAGAGCTTGTAGCGCGAAAGTTTTATCCACTTCTCCAGTTAACGTCAAATGGCAACGCAGTTGAGCCTCGAAATCGCCGTCCAACACTAATAGATCGTCCATCCTATAGTTAGTGTCGATGGCTGGCTATTTTTAAAAGTCTGCTTCTTGACGTTTGTATATCACAATGTCCAAATATAATACGTGATTCAAATGGGAGAACGTCGCTTCCGTTATATTCAGCGATTACTGATTATCTCTCTCGGACGTCCTCGTTAACGGAGGAAATATAACTGTAAATTAGTTGAGTTGAGACATTCACCTTAACACTTCGGTTGAAATAAACTCGTTTTTTCATACTAAACATGTCGTAAACGAGTGTAATCCTAAATGAGGTCATGCAAGATCGCGAGTATTTAAAGGACATATCTGTATATCAAATCTTTTATTTAACAACAGTTATGTAAGCTTACTTAGATCGGAAGCTTTTAAAAGAGGATATTTATGAACGTTATCAAGTTCCGCATATAATTAACGTTCTATAAAATAAGTTTTATATAATATAAATATAAATATATATATATATATATATATATATATATATACTGTTATCGAATATTTTTCGTACAAATACCATGCAAAGGGAATAGTTAAACATATCGTTGGACAACGTTGTCCCCTTTTCGTAATTGAAAAGCGATACTCTTTATTCTATTAACGTTAGAAGTTAGAAGTTAGAGTCAGACATTTCTTTCACGATCTTAGAAAATTGCGAAAATTGTATAAAGGATGCGATAGTATCCTAGTAATTTATCATTGGAAGATTGATTTTATCAAATACTTCTCGTTAATTAATTACTTCTATGTATGTTTGCGAATATAGACAGTTTTGTGTTTCAGTTACTTATACAGAAATATTGTACATTATAAAGCATTATTATTATTTTAATGTGATCAGGTAATGAAAGTTATGAACTGTGTATTGGGTATTGCAGAAATTATACAACTTTTAATTCTGAAAGAAAGAATAAATAATTTTGGAGATACAATAATAAATAAACGACATAATATAGCAACAAAATAATGTATAAAAATTTGAAAAAATTATCATTGTAAAGAATTATCGATATTATTACAATTAACTGTACAAACAATTTATTAAGTGCGTGTTATAAATTGAGTGAACGATTTATGTGCACTGAGAAAAAACCAGTTGGATCGATCAAATTGGTGGTCATCCGCCTTCAAAGAAATAGTGTCTATTGAACAAGTTACGTTAGTGCAACAATAAGTTGCATTAATATAGTTACTTATTAAATCGCAACTATTGAATCAATTATATATATGTACATATATATAATTCATTTCAGCAACGATGTAATTTGTCCAATGGCGTAAACGTTTGCTTCAATGAGTTTTAATCGTTTCAGACAAAGTCTCATTAACTTAACCATATTTTTTTTCAGTATGCAATTAGCAAACAAGTACCTACTGTAGCAATCCTATGTTCAGGCTTACAGATTTTAAATGTCAGTAAACTTTACATGTGTACATACTTTGAATTGCGTTGATTCTAATTGAATTATGCACGACATAATCATTCTCTAGATCTCCTATATAATATGGTCATTTAATATCTACGCGGCAAATATATCATAAGATCACAAAATGCAGTGATCAAAGTTATTGTTGTTATAACTTCGAATGATTTAGCGTATTTTGGTTGGAGTATGAATTGAGTAAAGTGATTTTCTTTTTGGAAGGGCAGTAATTGTCTACTTGTTTACGAATCTCCCTTATGTCTTCCGCGACAGTGTTGGTACCACCGCCGATGTAACGTACTCCGCAGTCAAACAATTCCTTCATGAAATTGTTCTGCGGCGCAATAATAGATGCACCATTCGCTTCCGTAGTAGAAAAATGACATTTGTCAACATAAAACACAAACGGAATTTTTAAATATCTCTTGTCGTTGATCTCCCGCATTAAGAATTTCATCGAGTTAGGCAAGGAACATTTGGCACCGATTGCATAAATTTGAGTGGGCAGAGTATTACAACAGTACGTAGCTGCTTTTTCAAAGGATGTTCCGTCCAATAAAAGTCCATTCGGCTGGCATGAGAACGTGATCCATATGCGAGCGTTTAAATACAACTTCAGCACCTCAATTATCGCTTTCACCTCCCTCATACAAGGTATAGACTCGAATGCCAAGATATCGACGCCAAATTTCAATAACTGTTGTACACGCTGTCGATGATACCAACTCAGGAATTTGAATACGGAATTTGTAGTATGTTTGAAACCATTAGTTTCATCTTCGAAAGTCGAAGCATAACTGCTGAGACAACCGGCCACTAAAGGTCGGGATCGATTTTTAACTGGACCCGTCTCCTCGTGATATTTAAACAAGGCCTGTTTGGCCAACTGTACGGCTATGTGCAACATTGGCGGACTTTCAGGAACATGTAAATGTTTTTTAATGGAATCTAAGGACGCTCTGTATGTGTTGGTTCTTATTATCTGAGCGCCAGCGCGCAGATAATCCAAGTGCGTCTTGTACACGGCGTACTGGTTATCCCGGAGAGCTTGTAGCGCGAAAGCGCTATCCAAATTCTCTTTTTGGCCCAAATTGCGACGTAGTTGAGCTTCAAAGTCACCGTCCAGCACCATTAACTTTTCCATTTTGTAGCCAATATTGTTGGCTGGCTGTTCTTGAAAGTCTGCTCCTTGACGTCCGTATATCACAATACCCGAATACGGTCCGAATGTGAAAACGTCGCTTCCGTTATATTCACCTATTACTGATTATCTCTCTCGGGCGTTCTCGTTGACGGAGAGAATATAACTGTAAATTAGTTCAGCTGAGATGTTCGCCTTAACAGTTGGGCTGAAGTGAACCTCTTTGTTCATTCTAAGTATGTTGTAGATGAAGTTATAACTCGATCTGGGGTCGTGCAAGATCATAAGTACTTAAAGGACATATCTGTATGTCCAATTTTTTATTTAACAACAGTCATGTAAACATGAGCTCATTCAGATAGACGTGTCGATTATCTGTTATGGAAGCTTTTAAAAGAGGATATTTGTGAACGTTATGAAATTCTGCGAATAATTAGCGTTTCAACAAATAAGTTTTATATATATATATACATATATTATATAGCTATTATTACTGCTATCGAATATTTTTCGTATGTATGCCGTGCAAAGGGATTTTAGTTAAATATATCGTTGAACAACATTGTTCCCTTTTCGTAATTGAAGAGCGATACTCTCTATTCTATTAACATTAAAACGGTTAGAGTCAGACATGATTATTCCTTTCACGATTTTGGAAAATCGCGAAAATATATAAAGAATATACGATAGTACAATTTATCATTGGAAGGTAGATTAAACGTTATTTTTCGTTAATTAAACTATATTATAAACTGAGTAAACGATTTATATGCATTGAGAAAGAAAGCAGATAGATCGACCAAATCGGTGGTCATCCGCTTTTAAAAATATATTGTATCTATTGAACAAATTATATTAGTGCAACAATAAGTTGCATTGATATAATCAAATCGTAACTATTGAATCAGTTATATATATGTACATATAAATAATTTTCGCAGCAACGATATAATCGCTAATTGCCTAAACGTTTGCTTTATCGAATTTTAGTAATTTCAAACAAAGTCTTATTAACTCAACCATATTTTTTTCTCAGTATACAATTAGCGTACAAGTAACTATTGTAGCAATTCTATGTTCAAGTTTACAGATTTTAATCGTCTTAACATGTGATACATATTTTGAATTGTGTTGATCTAATTACATTATGCACGACATAATCATTCTCTACGCAGATAATGAGAGAGATATATTTATTTCATTGTAACAAACTTTAGATCTCTTAGATAATATCGTTCATTAATATTTACGCGGTAAGTATATCATAAAATCACAAAATGCAGTGATCACAAAGTTATTGTTACTATAACTTCGACTGATTTAGCGTATTTTGGTGGGAGCATGAATTGAGTGAAGTGAAAATTTTCTTTTTGGAGTTGTAATTGTCTGCTTGTTTACGAATCTCCCTTATGTCCTCCGCGACAGTGTTGGTACCACCGCCGATGTAACGTACTCCGCAGTCAAACAATTCCTCCACGAAATTGTTCTGCGGCGCAGCAATAGATGCACTATTCGCTTCCTTTGTAGAAAAATGACATTTGTCAGCATAAAACACAAACGGAATAAAATGTTTCTTGTTGATCTCCCGCATTAAGGATTTCATCGAGCTAGACAAGGAACATTTGGCACCGATTGCACAGATTTGACTGGATAGGGTATCACAATAGTAATTAACTGCTTTTGTAAAGGGTGTTCCGTCCAATAAAAGTCCATTCGGCTGGCATGAGAACGTAATCCACATGCGAATGTTTGGCGTGAACTTCAGCATGTTAGCTATTGCATTCGCCTCAGACATACAAGGTATAGACTCGAATGCCAACAGATCGACGCCAGCGTTTAATAACTCTCGTGCATTTTGTCGGTGATACAAAAATAGGGAATACTCCGAGGTATTTGTGATATTGTTCAAACCATTAGTTTCATCCTCGAAACTCGAAAAATAACTGCTGAGGGAACCGGCCAATAAAGGTTGGGATCGATATTTAAATGTGCAGCTGTAAGATCTCATCTCGTCGTTATATTTATACAAGGCCTGTTTGGCCAACTGCACAGATGTATGTAAAATTGGCAGATTTTCATGCTGAGGGAGATAACAGTATTTACTAAGGGACGTCCTGTATATGTTGGTTCTTATTATCTGAGCGCCGGCGCGCAAATAATCCAAGTGCGTCTGATACACGGCGTACTTGTTATTCAGGAGAGCTTGTAGCGCGAAGGTGTTATCCAACATCTCTCTTTGGACCAAATTGCGACGTAGTTGAGTTTCAAAGTCACCATCCACTACTATTAAGTTTTCCATTTCGTAGCCAATATCGTTGTTATTAAAAGTCTGCTCCTTGGCGTATGTATATCACAATGTCCGAATATAGTACGTGGTTCGAATGTGGAAACGTCGCTTCCGTTATTTTTATCGATTACTGATTATCACTCTCGGACGTTGACAGTCAATTGATTCAACTGAGACGTTCGCCTTAACAGTTCGGCTGAAGGGAACCCCTATGTTTATTCTAAGTATCGTAGATAAAGTTATGACTCGATCTGAGATCGTGCAAAATCGTAAGTACTTGAAGGACATATCTGTATGTTCGATCTGTTTTATTTAACAACAGTCATGTAAACACGAGCTCACTCAGATAGACGTGTCAGACAGTACACTATATGATATGGAACTCTAGAACTATTGTAAAACAAACCGGAACTCTAAAGAAATAGTTAATTTAAATAGTTTGTTTGATTAGGTGCGCTGCGAGAACTATTGTAAAACAAACCGGAACTCTAAAGAAATAGTTAATTTAAATAGTTTGTTTGATTAGGTGCGCTGCGAGAACTATTGTAAAACAAACCGGAACTCTAAAGAAATAGTTAATTTAAATAGTTTGTTTGATTAGGTGCGCTGCGAGAACTATTGTAAAACAAACCGGAACTCTAAAGAAATAGTTAATTTAAATAGTTTGTTTGATTAGGTGCGCTGCGAGAACTATTGTAAAACAAACCGGAACTCTAAAGAAATAGTTAATTTAAATAGTTTGTTTGATTAGGTGCGCTGCGAGAACTATTGTAAAACAAACCGGAACTCTAAAGAAATAGTTAATTTAAATAGTTTGTTTGATTAGGTGCGCTGCGAGAACTATTGTAAAACAAACCGGAACTCTAAAGAAATAGTTAATTTAAATAGTTTGTTTGATTAGGTGCGCTGCGAGAACTATTGTAAAACAAACCGGAACTCTAAAGAAATAGTTAATTTAAATAGTTTGTTTGATTAGGTGCGCTGCGAGAACTATTGTAAAACAAACCGGAACTCTAAAGAAATAGTTAATTTAAATAGTTTGTTTGATTAGGTGCGCTGCGAGAACTATTGTAAAACAAACCGGAACTCTAAAGAAATAGTTAATTTAAATAGTTTGTTTGATTAGGTGCGCTGCGAGAACTATTGTAAAACAAACCGGAACTCTAAAGAAATAGTTAATTTAAATAGTTTGTTTGATTAGGTGCGCTGCGAGAACTATTGTAAAACAAACCGGAACTCTAAAGAAATAGTTAATTTAAATAGTTTGTTTGATTAGGTGCGCTGCGAGAACTATTGTAAAACAAACCGGAACTCTAAAGAAATAGTTAATTTAAATAGTTTGTTTGATTAGGTGCGCTGCGAGAACTATTGTAAAACAAACCGGAACTCTAAAGAAATAGTTAATTTAAATAGTTTGTTTGATTAGGTGCGCTGCGAGAACTATTGTAAAACAAACCGGAACTCTAAAGAAATAGTTAATTTAAATAGTTTGTTTGATTAGGTGCGCTGCGAGAACTATTGTAAAACAAACCGGAACTCTAAAGAAATAGTTAATTTAAATAGTTTGTTTGATTAGGTGCGCTGCGAGAACTATTGTAAAACAAACCGGAACTCTAAAGAAATAGTTAATTTAAATAGTTTGTTTGATTAGGTGCGCTGCGAGAACTATTGTAAAACAAACCGGAACTCTAAAGAAATAGTTAATTTAAATAGTTTGTTTGATTAGGTGCGCTGCGAGAACTATTGTAAAACAAACCGGAACTCTAAAGAAATAGTTAATTTAAATAGTTTGTTTGATTAGGTGCGCTGCGAGAACTATTGTAAAACAAACCGGAACTCTAAAGAAATAGTTAATTTAAATAGTTTGTTTGATTAGGTGCGCTGCGAGAACTATTGTAAAACAAACCGGAACTCTAAAGAAATAGTTAATTTAAATAGTTTTTTTGATTAGGTGCGCTAAGTTCTCGAAGCTCACTTAATCAGTAAAATCAACTCTTTCTTTAAAATTATTGTTATATATAATATAGAACTCTAGAACTATTGTAAAACAAACCGGAACTCTAAAGAAATAGTTAATTTAAATAG